TATTAATTATAGCAGGGAAATAGCTGCTAAGAAATAAAGAGAATGCTAAAGAATACAGAAATAGGAGACATAAGGAGTGGCCACTGCCTCTACAATCCAAGATTGATGCATTTATGCATCTTTCTCAAGCATAAAAGATGCAGGACATCTTTTGAGAAAGATGACAGTCCCAGACCCAGATGTCATTTGAGCACTCTTGGAGGAGGCTCACAAAGGGCAAAGGAGTCCCTGTGATGCTGCACCTTGAACTTGATGGAAATTCACCTTCTGGAACTTGCCAGAAGTCCATCCTCTGGGAGGCTGGGGAAGGCAGTTCACAAGGAAGGGTCTTACTCCAGGCACTAGGAAACTGCCTGAGGTGGGTGCCAGAGCAAGGTGCCGGCCGCGGGGTGTTGCCGACTGCCGGGCGCTGGAGAGGCTTGCACACTGCAGGAGCGGGGCCTGGGGGAACCTGGGGGAACCAAGTCTGGAAGCTGACCAAAAAAAAAAAAAAGGTGGGGGGGTGCTTCTTCCTGTAATGTTCCTCTGGCTCCCTCTACTGGAGAAACTCAAAATGTCAGCCGGCACAGGAAAAAGATTTAAATGGCCAAACTTGGCACCTTGGGGCCGTAAGGCAGTCAATTGCCAACTGGCACATTATATGATTCCATTTATTCCAGATCCCAATTTTTCTAGAAAAGAGTTATTACAGTGATAGAAAGCAGATTAGCGGTGGCCCTGGGGTGGAAATCGGTGGGGTAAGGAGGGACAGGGAAGGGGTAAACTTTTTGGAGTGACGGAAATGTTCCATATCCGGGTTGCCATGACAGTTACACGGTGGTATACAGTTATAACTCAAATTGTACCCTTGAAACGTGTGCATTGTATTGGATGTAAATTATACATCAATAAGGGTTCTTTTTTAAAGGGACCCATTCTGGGAAACGTAGGGCTTGTGTACAAATATAAATAGAAAAATGCACACGTGTGCACAAACACAGCGCGGATGCACCCCGAATCCCCCACCGCAATAGCCCAGCTTACACTGTGGTGTGTATCTCTCCGTGAGGTATTACCAGAAGTAGTATTGTTGTCATTGGCTTTGTGGCTTGCTCCCTTACTCTCTCTGAGGAGTTCACGTTCAACGTGGGTGCTATGGGGAGTTGGCAGAGTTTAGAGGGGGCAGTGACCATCACAGGTGCCCACTCCCTTCTCTCATTCCCTCTCTCCCCAAAGTGAATCCGCAGAGGCATCTCACCTTAGGTTCTAATGCTTTCGGATTATCAAATCCTCATCTTTAGAATGAAAACTTATTAGTTGCTTCATTATCATTGGGTCTTATTCCTTGAGTCCTGAGCATGACTTAGGGATATCACAGCAACCCTATTTGAAGTAGAAGAAGTAGTTATCCCCATATTACAGGCAAGAAAACTGAGGCTCAGAGGTCAGCAGCCTACCTACAAGATGCCGAGAAAGAGGCAGAATCGGGATTTGAACCCAGATCATTTGCCCCCATGGGAGCTCCTGATCACCACCTGTCCTGCTGGGGGCAGAAGCCCCAGGTCCTGAAAACCCTCAGAGGCTCCTTGCCCTCCACAGATGGGTCCTAATAGGCTTTACAGATACTGAATCTTCCACAGTTGGGTCTTTTCTCTCCCCGTGATGGTAAAATGGAAATTTTCAAGCATATAGGAAAGTTAATTATACAGGGAATAAACACTAACTCCTAAGGAGAGACAGTGACAATGCCCACATGTTTTTTAGCCTGATCCTGAAGTATCACACCTCATAGTAATAGTTTGTTCAGTCTTCCATGTTCTTAAAACAAAACAAGTTAGTGAAATGACATCTCAAGGGCAAAAAGGTATCAATACCACAGCAAGTAAAAACGTATGCTGATAAATATGTAAGAGTGACCCGTAAGTTAGTCTAGTAGACTCTTAGCTGATAAAATCAATAAAATCATTTTTTTTTAAAGATTTTATTTACTTATTTGAGAGAGAGAATGGGAGACAGAGAGCATGAGAGGGGGAGGGTCAGAGGGAGAAGCAGACTCCCTGCCGAGCAGGGAGCCCGATGCGGGACTCGATCCCGGGACTCCAGGATCATGACCTGAGCCGAAGGCAGTCGCTTAACCGACTGAGCCACCCAGGCGCCCAATAAAATAATTTTTTAAATCAACTAAAAACTGCTAAAATTAATAAAGATGAAAACCCATACAAATTAAGTCATAAAATCAATAAAGTCGAAACACCATATAAAATGAAGACCATTTAATGAATCAGGAACCTTGAAGATGACATTCTACTATTTGGTCTGTGTCAGAAGTGGGCTGTAGCTGGAGAGAGAGAAAAGCCTGCGGGGGGATCCTCAGCTGTGCAGTCCCCCAGCTGAGTATCCCTGACCCAGGCACTGGGGGGCGGGACCCAATAGGCCTTCAGATGACCCCGCCCCACCACTGTCTGACGCCAAGACTGGAGAGCCCCTGAGTACGGCTGACCTCTGCCCCGGCGATTCCCAGAGCCAGAAAAAAAAATAATCATAAAATAATGGTTATTGTGAGTGTATTCCAGCAAACACACCGTGTCAATGGTATCATCACTGAGTCATGGAGATATTTTGGGGCAAAATTTTCCAGTCACTATAAAAAGGTCTCTGGCCCTACACAATTTGAGGAACTACTGAGGAGAGAGATAAGCTAGCTCACTCGTTTCCAGGGGTGCCTTTATTTTGAATAGTGCCATATTTTGTTTGAGAACTCTGGGGAGAGCTTTTTGGACATATTTTTTGTTCCTTTCCGTGGACTCCCATCTCTTTTTATTGTTACTGTTTTTACTAAACCTTTTACAGAAAGTACCTAAAGCTGTACGGCCTGATGAATGTTTACAAGTAAATACACACATATAGACAGCCCTCAGTTCAGGAAACAGAAACAAAATGCTTTCTAAATGAGTATACCTCTGCCTGGTTAGAATTTTTTTAATGTTTTTTTTTTTTTTCTTAAGATTTCATTTATGTATTTGAGAGAGCGCGGGAGGGGGGAGAGGCAGAGGGAGAGGAAGAAGCAGACTCTTCTTCTGGCAGGGAGCCCAAGGTGGGGCTCGATCCCAGGATCATGACCTGAGCCAAAGGCAAATGCTTAACCGACTGAGCCACCCAGGTGCCCCGTGCCCGGTTAGAATTTTTAATGCTGCCCCTGATGAGAAACAGTGGGTGCCCTGACTGCAGACACAGACCAATCTGGTTAGAATTTTTAATACTGCCTGAAATTCTCTTGCAGAGAATTTTTTTTTAAGATTTTTTTTTTTTTTAAGTTATCTCTACACCCAACTCGGAGCTTGAACTCACAACCCTGAGATCAAAAGTCACACACTCCACCGACTGAGGCACGTAGTCACCGTGAAATGAGTCATCGAGTCATCAACCACAATTTCAAGATGCAAAAGATTCCAGAGATTTAAATAAAACCAAATAAAGGTATTACACCAACAAAAACACCTGTAGTCACAATAGCTGTAATGTGGAAGCCATCCATGTCCGTCAGCAGATGAATGAATAAACAAAATGGAATATTACTTGGCCTCAAAAAGGAAGGGAATTCTGACACAGGCTACAACATGGATGAACTTTGAGGACGTTACGCTGAGTGAATAGGCCAATCACAAAAAGACAAATACCATGGGGCGCCTGGGTGGCTCAGTCGGTTAAGCGTCTGCCTTCCGCTCGCGTCAGGATCCCAGGGTCCTGGGATCGAGCCCCGCGTCGGGCTCCCTGCTCAGCGGGGAGTCTGCTTCTCCCTCTGCTCCTCCCCACCCTGCTTGTGCTCTCTCTCTCTCTCTCAAATAATAAATAAAATCTTTAAAAAAAAAAATCTAGGGCGCCTGGGTTGCTCAGTCGTTAAGCGTCTGCCTTCGGCTCAGGTCATGATCCCAGGGTCCTGGGATCGAGCTCCACATCGGGCTCCCTGCTCCACGGGAGGCCTGCTTCTCCCCCTCCCACTCCCCCTGCTTGTGTTCCTGCTCTCACTATCTCTCTCTCTGTCAAATAAATAAATAAAATCTTTAAAAAAAAAAAAAAATCTAAAGAAAAAGATGGGGAACCACCCAAATGCCCATCAGTGCGTTCCTGGATAAGTAAATTACAACATAACCACCACAGAATTAAACAAAATGCAGCTCTAAAAAAGAATGGGGAAATGTAGTGGTTTGGAAGAATCTTCAAGATACGTTCTTACTGGGGCGCCTGGGTGGCTCAGTCGGTTAAGCGTCTGCCTTCAGCTCGGGTCATGATCCCAGGGTCCTGGGATCGAGCCCTGTGTTGGGCTCCCTGCTCTGCGGGAAGCCTGCTTCTCCCTCTCCCTCTGCGTGCCTCTCTGCCTACTTGTGCTCTCTCTCTCTCTGTCAAATAAACAAATAAAATCTTTAAAAAAAAAAAGATCTTGGGGCGCCTGGGTGGCTCAGTCGTTAAGTGTCTGCCTTCGGCTCAGGTCATGATCCCAGGGTCCTGGGATCGAGCCCCGCATCGGGCTCCCTGCTCGGCGGGAAGCCTGCTTCTCCCTCTCTCACTCCCCCTGCTTGTGTTCCCTCTCTCGCTGTGTCCCTCTCTGTCAAGTAAATAAATAAATAATCTCAAAAAAAAAAAAAAGACAAATACCGTATGATTATTCCTCTTATATGAGTTACTTAGGTCAAAATCCCACAGACAGAAAGTAAGAGAGTGGTTAGTGGGGGCAGGGGGGAAGGGGTTGGGGAGTGACTGTTTTACTAGGTGAAAAGAGTTTTGGAGATGGATGGTGGGGATGGTAGCACATGAATATATTTAATACCACTGAACTGTACACTTACAAAGACTTACGACGGTAAATTTTTTTAAAAGACTTTATTTGCTTGAGAGAGAGAGAGCACACAAGCAGGGGGAGGGGCAGAGGGAGAGAGAGAAGCAGACTCCCCACTGAGCAGGGAGCCGGAAGTGGGGCTCCATCCCAGGACCCTGGGATCATGCCCTGAGCCGAAGGCAGACACTTAACCGACTGAGCCACCCAGGCACCCCTTAGGATAGTAAATTTTATGTTATGTGATTTTACCACCAAAAAAAAAAAGAAAAATGGAGAAAAAGAAAGAATTAGCCTCATGGCAACAAATAAAAATAAAGTAGATTTCTGAATTTAAAAGTAATAATAAACCAGTAGTCAGGACTTAAAAACAACATGATTTTAAAACAAAAAAAAAATCAAAGAAACCCAATTACAATTACCCAATTCCTGAATTACATTCATTACGCTCAAAAGAGATAAATAAGTTTCATAGGCAGGAAGTGGGTAGTCAGGATTTGAACCCAGATTGGTCTGTGTCTGCAGTCAGGGCACCCACTATTTCTCACTGGGGGCTCTTTTGGGGATTTGTGGAAGGTACCCATCCCACGCAATGCAGGTCACTGCGCATTGTCCCCTTTATCTACTGCTGCATAACAGACTACTCAAAACACAGCGACCTAAACCAATAACCTTTATTTTATTATTTCTTGGCTCTGGGGATTGGCTGGGCTCCGCGTGGCTTCGCAGTTCTTAGGGGCTCGCGTTCAGCGCCGTCTGACCGTGGCTGGGGCTGGGTCATCGGAAGGCTTATTCCCCGCTATGTCTAGCCCCTGGAGTGAGACTCGAACAGCTGGGGCTCTCCAGGCATTTCTCTGCCTTCCTTGGCTCTCTTCAGGGCAGCCGGACTTCAGTGGTGACTCGGGCTGTGGTGTGTGTGGCGTGCAGCTTGCTCGGCCTTCGGAGAGCAGATTGTGGGCAGCGCTCCAGCTCCACAGTTCGGGGACTTGACGTTGGTAGCTTGCGATCAGTCATGGTAGGTGTATTTACCCAGACGTCAGCAAACGCTATGAACCCAGATTCTTTTTTCCTCCTAGAGGGCTGATGGTGAAACGTTTAGCAGCACTTCACCAGACTCAGGGCTCCCAAGGCACACATGCCGAGAGAGTGCAAGCGGTGCTGTATCTTCTTTTATGACCCAGCCTTGGAAATCCCTTAGCAATGTCACGTCTATGGCGCTCTGAAAGTTGAAGCAGTCACAGAGGTCTGCCCGTGTCAAGGAGAGGGGAGTGGACAGTGGAGAGTGGCCAAGTCCTAGCAGAGCATGTCAGATAGGCTACATTATTATACCAATTGTGGTCTGCATAGCATCATGGGTCCTGGAAACTGTATACCATTAGCATCCCCCAGTCACTGTGCCAGCCAATAACATAACTGCCCCCCCAAAACACACACAGTCCCAAACAGCAGGGCATTGATGTGCCTTATGTATCCCATACTGCCCCAGCCAGTGGTTGGCATTCAGCCGTGTGGACATGGTGGCCACGAGCTCCTTATGGCCCTCAGCAGAGCATCCCAAACAAGGATTTTGTATACTCAAGGCTCATAAGGCACATCCCTTGAAGGTCCTTGCTCCTTGGTGAAGCCTGTCTGCCCTCGTTTTGCGAGGGGGCCACCCCAGCTCCAGAGATCCCTTGTTTGCCAGTGACCAGAGCAGTCTTAAGGGGAGCCAAGCAGGGGAACCACACTCCGGTGAGTTTCACGTCCATGACAGGCAGACTGATGGACTTGCTATTAAATGGCAGCTAATTGCGGCGCCTGGGTGGCTCAGTCGTTAAGTGTCTGCCTTCGGCTTAGGTCATGATCCCAGGGTTCTGGGATTGAGCCCCACATCCGGCTCCCCGCTCCGCGGGAAGCCTGCTTCTCCTCCTCCCACTCCCCCTGCTTGTGTTCCCTCTCTTGCTGTCTCTCTCTCTCTGTCAAATAAATAAAATCTTTAAAAAAAATAAAATAAATAAATGGCAGCTAATTATTAATGCAACTAAGAACCACTTGGGGGAAAAAAATCACACCCTGTTTCTTAAGTCTTATAACCAGTCACCCTGTATCAGGGTAAAGGGGGGGTTCCACATTTTGCCATGTCCGTGGATCACTTTCTTTTTTTCTAAGATTTATTTATTTATTTTAGAGAGATACAGGCATCTTTCTTTTTTTCTAAGATTTATTTATTTATTTTAGAGAGAGATCAAGCAAAAGCGGGAGGGGCAGAGGGAGAGAGAATCTCCAGCAGACTCCATGCTGAGCGCGGAGCCCGACACGGGGCTCGATCTCACGACCCTGAGATCATGACCTGAGCCGAAACCAAGAGTCAGATGCTTAACTGACTGTGCCACCCAAGCGCCCCTTAACAAAACCTTAATCAACTTATTTAAAAATAATAACAGCTGTCATGAGTTGAGCTCTTACAGACATTAGACAACATAACAAGCATTAGATCATTGAAGTCTCTTAACCCAGGGCAACCTCCCATGATCCTTTTGCCCATTAAACAAGATGATGGGATTCTGTGAGATGCCCCAGTTCCAGTGCTCAGCACAGTGGCTTCATAAGGGCCCAATAAATGTCACCAGATGAAAAAATTGTAGCTGAAAGGCTGTTCATCATTCTTTTACGATGTGTAATAATAATAGCAACTAACATAATTTAGTGTTCAATATTAATTGAATATCACTCTTATTTCTAAGACACCAGCGATTTTTCTTAAACATTTTACAAATATTAACCCGTTTCATCCTTACAACAACCCCGTAGAGTAGATATGTTAACATCCTCGTTCTCAGAGCACAAGAGATTAAGGGACAAGCCCTTGGTCACAGAACTAGCTAGAGGCAGGGCTGGAACTCGAACCCAGGCTGGCAGGATCCAGCCCCCAAGGCACTCATCGCAGGGCTCTTCCGCCCTGATGGGGAAGATGAAATGAGTTTCTCACTAGATCTGAGCCCAGTCACTCAGTTCTCATTAAATAAAAGTGTTTCACCTTCCTGTGCCTCAGTTTCCTCATCTGTGGAGTAGGTTTGTGATGATTCGTTGGTTCATTCACTTAACATCTCTTCATTGCACACGTATTGTGTGGGGGGCACTGGTGTGGACACTGGTTATCTAGTATGCCAAACAAGCCCTCATGATGAAGAAGGTACTAAGTAGGGGTGCCCGGCTGGCTCAATCAGTAGAACGTTGGACTCTTGATCTCGGTGTCGTGAGTTTGAGCCCCATGTTGGGTGTAGAGGTTACTTTAAAATAAAATCTTAAAAAAAAGAAGGTATTAAGTAAATTATATATACTTTTGTGTGTGGTGTATTAAGAGGTAATAAGAGCTTTAGAGAAGTATACAGTAAGGAAAAGAGAAGGGGGAGTAAGGGGTGGTCATGAGCTCCTAAAATAAGGTGGCCAAGGATGGTCTCATGGAGATGCTGACATTTGAGCAAAGACTTGAAATGTGGAGGTGAGCATAGAAATCCTCTGGATCCAGGTGGAAGGAAGAGCCTGTGCAAAGGGCCTGAGGTGTGGAGGCTCGTTTGGCTGGGCAGAGCAGGTGAGGAGGAGATGAGAGCAAGCAGGTGATGGGGGCAGACTGTGTGGGGCTTTGTGGGCCACAGTGAGGACTCTGCCTTTATCCTGAATGAGGTGGAGTCCCGGGGGGGGGGGGGGCGGTTCTGAGTAAGACAGGGATAGGACCTGATTCAGGTGCTCATACCCGACCTGGCAACTAGTGAGGAACAGACAACTCGGGAAAGAAGCAGAGAGACAGTGATGGCCCAGGTGGGAGGTGTATGAATGTGCAAGATCCCCAAGGGAGTGAGTGGTGATGGAGAATACAGGAGGTTCAAACACCAATCTTTGACATTTCAGATCAGATGGAGGATGAACAGCCAAAGAGACTCACTAGGAGCCACCAGGTGAATGGGAGGGGTCCAGAGGGTGTGGTGGCGTGGAGCCAAGTGAAGAGGGAGTAACCCTCAGTGTCAGTGTCAAAGTGAGGACTGAACCCTGACTTTGACTTAGCACCAAAGGGGTCATTGGTGACCTTGACATTACAGAGCGGGGGCGGGGTGGAGGGGCAAAGCCTGATTAGAGAAGGTTTAAGAGAGAACAGAAGTAGAAAATCTGGAGGCAGAGACTAGTGACAACTTTTTGGAGAAGCTTTACCGTAAAGAGAAGCAAAGAAATGGAGCCATAGCTGGAAGGGGTGGGGGTGAAGTCAAGAGAGGGTTTGTTTCCAGACGAGAGGGATGACACCGTGTGGGCTGCTGAGAATGATCGAGTGCAGAGGGGGATTCTAAGGCGCAGGAGACAGCGACAATTGTGAGACTGTGTGACCTGGAGTGGGCGGAAGGGGTGTGAGCAGGTCACACAGAAGGCTGACGTTTGCAGGGCAGTCACCGTGGGAAAGCCAGAGGCCCCAGGGCAGGTGGGTGGGTGGTAGACAGGGTGGTAGGCACCTGTGAAAGTTCACTTCTCATTGCTTGTAATTTGTTTCTGCACAATAAGAAGCAAAGGGAGAATGAAGAGGTGGGAAGAGGTGTGATGAGCTAGGGGCCAGGGGAGAGAAGGTGTTAGAGTTATCTACAGAGAAGAGGAGCCTGTGAATAACAAATGTTATCTGATTGTCAGGCAGCCTTCCCAGCTTGAGGGTCAAGTTCACAATCTGGAAGTGAGACCAGCCAGTGGAGTTGTGTGTTCTTCAGTCACCTTAAACTGGGTTCAGTCACCTTAAACTGGGTATAGCCACAGGACAGGCGGAGGGCTGGATTGAACCAGGGTCACGTGTTGGAGGAAGCCAGGGACAAGGATGTGGGCAAAGAATGTTTTTAATGGCTATCGAAGCAACTTAAGCTGGGTAAGGAAGAAATGAGGACTTGAGGGCTTGAGGGGCCATGAAAAGGAGGTAGACACAAAGGATGGGGGACCACAGTGGGCTGGAAGGATCGTGGGGGGGTCTGGGGCACTAGAAGGAAAGAGCTAGAGGGAGAATGGGTGAACGGTGGAGAGTGAGCTCCCTGAGTTGAGGTTCTGAAGAGCCTGTGGTTATGGAGACAAAGTCTAGGTGTGACCATGGAAGGGAGAGGCTGAGAGGAGAGCATGTCAGGGAGCAGAGAGGCAGGTGGCCGAAGGAAGGATCATCTACTTGGATGGGGAAATTGCCAGGAATGTTGAGAAGAGCAGCCTGAGTGTCAGGGAGCCTGGAGCTAAAATCATGAAGCGGGGAGTGATCTGATCAGCAGGTAATGCACAAGGCAGGGTGGTGAACTATACTCTGAGGACACGGGAATCATAGCTGGGGGAGTTTGGGGAAGGAGGGAAGAATGGTCTGGAGGCTTGGATGGGCCACAGGGGAGCTGGGTTTTGGTTAGAGCAAGGCGACAAGAATGTTCAGTGAAGGGATTTCATGAACTGAAGACAGGGGTTGGGACAGGCTGGGGTATGGGGTGGAGATGGCTCCGTACTTGGGTTTGTTTGTTTTTTTTCTGTGCTCATGATCATACATGTAAACTGCTTAGCTTGACACAAATGCACCGGCCAGATATAGAAGCCGTGGTTAGCAGTCCTGGGGGAGTCCTGGTCAGACCAGGGCCCTTTCGCTCGAGGGGGAAAGGTGAGCAGCCGATCGCCCTCAGAGCCAACTGGCAGTAACTAGGTGCCCGGGGTTTCACGGGCCGTGGCAGTCCCGCGGCCCCCCACTGGAGCTGGTGGGGTCGTGGTCAAGCCGCAGGGATCTTGCGGCCTGGGAGAGGTGGGGGAGGCCGAACTGCCCTGATCTGCTGACCCCTCTCACCCCGCAGGACTCCGGAGGCCGGAGATGGGCGCCCGGCCCTCGCGGCGACGGCTGCCCGCGGACCCGCCCCTAGCCTTGGACGCGCTGCCCCCGGAGCTGCTGGTGCAAGTGCTGAGCCACGTGCCGCCGCGCGCCCTGGTGACGCGCTGCCGCGCCGTGTGCCGCGCCTGGCGCGACGTGGTGGACGGGCCCACCGTGTGGCTGCTGCAGCTGGCCCGCGACCGCAGCGCCGAGGGCCGCGCACTCTACGCCGTGGCCCAGCGCTGCCCGCCCAACAGCGAGGACGAGGAGTTCCCGCTCTGCGCCCTGGCGCGGTACTGCCTGCGCGCGCCCCTCGGCCGCAACCTCATCTTCAACTCCTGCGGAGAGCGTGCGTGCCGGGGGCGGGGCCGGGTAGACCAAAGTGTTGTGTGCGGCGGGGGGGGGCCGGGCCAGGCCGAGTGGGCGTGGCCGGGATGCATGAGACAGGGCGGGGCCAGGGCAGGGAGCCAAGGGGCGTGGCCAAGGGAAGAGGCTATTGGGAAACTTGCCAGGCGGGGCTGGGAAAGAGATGGACTGGGTGGGAGGGGCCGGGTGCTGTGGGCTGTGGAGGGAGACGAACTGGGTAGGCAAGAGCTGGACGAGCCAAGGGCCCTGGCGGGAAGGACGCGGGCTGGGACTGTAGACTCAGTGGGCGGGGAAAAGGAGGGGGGAGCCAGGGAGGACTGAGGAAAAGCTGATTGGGTGCTGGCGGGGGCGGGGCTTGTATAGAACTATGAAGCCACCCTGAGAGCGTGTGGGGAGGGGGAACTGAGCGAGTGGGCGGGGCCAAGGCAGGAGGAGCCCGAAGGCTGCGGTAGGAGAGGGTGGGGCCATGATGGCACGAGCCCGGGGCGGGGCCAGGGAGAAGCCGAGTAGATTGAGGGGCTGAGGGGCGGGCTGGGGGCGGGGCCGAATGGGGCCGAGGAGAAGCTGAGTGGGTGGGCAGGGCTGAGTGACACGGTCGTGGGGTGGGGCCAGGAATGCCGGCGGCTGGGAGGCGGGGCCAGGGTCGAAGAAACCGGGCGTGGAGCGCCGGAGGGAGGAGCTGGTGGGCGGGGCAAACAGGGTGGCGGCGGGCAGTTCTCTGGGCAGGCGGCAGGTGAATCCGTCGTCCTCAACCCTGTTGTATCCCACAGAGGGCTTCAGAGGCTGGGAGGTAGAGCACGGCGGGAACGGCTGGGCTGTGGAAAAGAACCTAACACTGGTGCCGGGGGCTCCTTCCCAGACCTGCTTCGTGACTTCTTTCCAGTGAGTGGCCCTTGATCCCTGGAGCAAGGGCCCCGAGGAGGGGGAGAAACCCTACCCCTCTGTCCTCATTCTCACCCTCACTCACCTTCACCCTCTCCTTCCCTCATTCATTTATTCAGTCAGTCAAATAGTTGTCAAATATTTGTTGCCAGGTGCCAGGCACTGTTTTATATGCCAGAGATACAGGGAAAATTCAGAAATGGGGAATTCAGAAAGGGGGCGCGGGAGACATGAAACACATAAACAGTAAAATAATGATGACAACAAAACAACAAACCTTTAGAGGACCTAGTCGATTCCAGCTGCTTTACATATAATTCTTTGAATCCTGGCAACAACCCTGTGACATGGATAGCATTATCTCCACTTGATAATAGGAAACAGGCACAAAGGGTAGCCAACACTTAATAAATGGTGAAGCTGGGATTTGAACCCAGGTAATCTGGTTCCAGAGCTTCTGAATCTACAGAGACATCAGAACAGCTGACTGACTGATTCTCTTTATTCTCACACCCCATCCCCATTGTCCTCGCTCCCTCCCCCCCATGTTCAACCATTCTCCTGTGGCATTACCCAACTTTCTAGTAGTTGCCAGTATATTAGGGGTGAAGTGATGTCTCACTGATGTTTTGATTTGCATGTTTCGGTTTACTAATAATTAAACATCTCTTTGTGTGCTTGTTAGCTTTTTGGATTCCCTCTTTTGGAAATTGCCCATTCATATTTTCTATTAGAGTTGATATCTCATTCTTGTTGATATACAAGAATTCCTTGTGTATTTTAGATGTTAGCCCCGTGTCCATCCTGGACACTGGGAATCTCCCACTCTACCATCTGTATTAACTGTGACCATGGTGTTCTTTGTCGTTATTTTCATATGATCAAATTCTTCTCTTTTTCGCTTTAGAGTCTGTTTTTGAAATTCTGCATGAAAAATCCTTCCCTACCCTTAGATCCTAACAGTATTCTCTCATAATCACTTCCAGTAACTTCACAGTTTTATCCTTCTAGATCTTTAGATGGCATATTCAAATCAGGGGAGAAGGACTGTTTACAAAGGTGTAGGCAGACCACAAGGGATACTCCATGAACCCCAGGCTAGTAACAGTGAGGGAAAGGGTCATGTCCAGCCCGAGACCTGACAAGGGTAAGGGGAGGAAGCAGTTCTTGAGCCATAAGACAGGGAAGGCTGTGAGAAGACGGCCCCCTGAAGCCGTGCCCTTTCATGGAGAGACACGGCAGTCCCACGCTGATCCCTTGGGAGGGAGCCGGGAGGCTAAATAACCCGATTTTACTCTCCTCTCGCCCTTCCTTCTCCTGCTAGCATTTCCCATTGGCTAACCCAGCAAGAAGGGGAGAGTAAGGGAGACCTGTCCATACAGGCAGTACAACCTTAGCCCTTGGGCTTCCACACTTTATTTAGGAGGCTCCAGAATTCCCTGCCCAGTGTGGGCCTCCATTTGTACTCGTGTTCCAGTCCCCACAAATATTAGGGACATACAGGTCAGCCTCCTGGAGCCCAGAGCCTGGTGGAGGATGGTGGAGAGGAGGGGAGAGGCCAGTGGGCATGCCCCGCCCATCCTACATCTTGTCCAGGAGAGCAAACCCCGAGGGGCTGCTTCAGACAGGGTTGTCAGGGGAGGCTTCTTGGAGGAGGTGATTTCTGGGCTGTGGCTTCCTTCATCCCTACACCATCTCCCCTTCCCAGATGGTGCTTTAAGAGGCAGCTTGTAGACTTGGTGATGGAAGGAGTGTGGCAGGAGCTGCTGGACAGTGCCCAGATCGAGATCTGTGTGGCCGACTGGTGAGTCAAGAATGGCAACCCACCCCGAGTGCCCTCGGGGCTGGCAGCCGTGCTGCACGAGGGTTCCTCTGTGCCCCCCATCAGCCCCCTGGTCTGGCCGCGGCTACTGCGTGCCCTTCACGGTGAGGCTGAGTGGGGAGGGGATACTCTCACAGTTGCAGAGGCTGGGAGGGGCAGAGCCTTGACGAGCTCAGCGCCCCCCCTTGCACCCTTCCCTGTCCCCTTTCAGCAGGCCCCGGGGTTGTTGACATGGGGGCCATTGACTGGCTTGGTCTGAAACGAGGTGCCCCATCTCATGAACTCCACCCTCATCGCCACAGTCAGCATGGACCCTAAGGGCTTGTGGACACCCAAGTCCTCAGGAAGGTTCGGAGCACTGCGCCCTGAGAACTGAGACTCAGAGTGACAGAGTTGGCCCTGGTTCCAGAGCACCCCAGTTCCTTCACAAAGCACTCGGGCTCCTCCTTCCAGGTCTTGCTCCCCCACACAAAGTCCAGGTTCTTCCCTGGGGCTCTGGCTCCTCCCCAGAAAGACCCAGGCTCCTCCTCTCCCAGGTTGTGGTTCCTCCCCAGACACCATCCTCCTCCCCCTCCACGCACACTCATCCAAGGCGAAGCCTCTAGAATCCACTCCAGGAGCACCCAGGCTCCTCCCCGCAAATTCCCAGGGCCTGACTTCTCCATATGCAGCATGGGATGTGCAACCCTCATCAAAGTGCAGGGAGGCGTAGCCCTCAGCCTGGTGACCGGGCGGGTGGCGGGGGCATCAAGGCTCACCACCACCTGGCAGGTGGGGTGCCCGAGAGAACTGTGGCTGCATCTACCGGCTCCGGGTCCGCCTCCTGGATGTGTATGAAAACGAAGTGGTCAAGTTCTCGGCCTCACCCAACCCGGTCCTTCAGTGGACGGAGAGAGGCTGCCGACAGGTGGGTCCAGACTGCCTTCCAGACCACCCCACCTCCCACCTGCTCAGATACCCTTCTCAGCCTTCATCACGGCTGGAAGTCTCTAACAGTAACAGCCAACAACCACCGAACCCTTACTTCTGCCCGGGTACTCTTCCCAGAGTTTTGCCAACTAATTCATTAGCAGAGCCCCTACTGTGTGCTGGGCACTGCTCTAGGTGCTTGGGAGGCACTGCTAAATCAAAGTCCTTGCCTCTGTCCTCATTCTAGAGTCGAGGAAACTGAGGCATGCAAGGTTGACTGGCCCCAAGTCACGCTAAAGCACGCAGGGCTCCCTTCACACCCAGGCCGGCTCCCAAGCCTGTGCTGAGTTATCGCACCTATTATCAAAGTAACCTTTGTGGGCACCTGCGTGGCTCAGTCGGTTAAGTGTCTGACTTGATTGCAGCTTGGGTCACGAGGTCGGGGTCGTGCGATTGAGCCTGGTGTCAGAGCCTGCTTATGATTCTCTCTCTCCCTCTGCCCCCCTCCCCCTCCAGCTTGGGCGCACGCTCTAAAAATAATAATAATAGGGGCGCCTGGGTGGCTCAGTTGGTTAAGCGACTGCCTTCGGCTCAGGTCATGATCCTGGAGTCCCGGGATTGAGTCCCGCATCGGGCTCCCTGCTCGGTGGGGAGTCTGCTTCTCCCTCTGACCCTCCCCCCTCTCATGCTCTCTGTCTCACTCTCTCTCAAATAAATAAATAAATTTAAAATAATAATAATAATAATAATAATAATAAAAAATCAAACCCTTGAGGTGGGCTTGTTTCCTCTTCTGATCTCCTCCTCCCCCCACCCAACACACATCCAGAAAGATCCCATTTAAAAGTGAGTCAGATCACAAGTCTCCCCGCTTGTAACCCTCCTAGGGCTACATCTCAGAGGAAAAGCCAAAGTTTTATCATGCAGCTATAAAAAGGGATGAAGTATGGACCCATGCTACAACATGGATGAACCCTGGCAATGGGAGGCTAAGTGAAAAGAGGCCAGGCACAAAAGGCCACACACTGTAGGGCTGCATGTATAGGAAATGTCCCAAAGAAGCAAAGACATACAGAGAGAAAGCAGAGAGATGAGTGGTTGCCAAGGCTAGGGGGAGGGAGGAATTGGAAGTGACAGCTAATGGATATGAGGCTTTTTTCTGGGCTGATGGAAATGTTCCAGAATTAGTTGGTCATAGTTGCATAATATTGTGAATATACTAAAAACCACGAAATTGTAGTTTTAAATGGTGCATTGTGTTAGGTGAATATTATCTCAATTAAAGAATTTTGCAAAGGGTAAGAAAAGGCAGAAGCCAGAGTCCTTCCATGGCCCACAAGGCCCCACATGATCTGCCCTTTACCTCCCTGACACCACCTCCTGTTCTCCTCTCTGCTCCAGGACACTTCTACCTCAGGGCCTTTGTGCTGATTGTTCCTCTATTTTTTTTTTTTAAGGGAGAAAAAAATTTTTTTTTTTGGAAGATTTATTTGTCAGAGAGAGCACAAGCAGGGGGAGCGGCAGGCAGAGGGAGAAGCAGGCTGTCCGCTGAGCAGGGAACCCGATGCAGGGCTCAATCCCAGGACCCTAGGATCATGACCTGAGCCGAAGGCAGATGCTTATCCGACTGAGCCACCCAGGCGCCCCAAGCCTGTTCCTCTGTTTGGAAGACTCTTTGTCCGGATCCCCACATGACTCCCTCCCCTCCTTCAGATCTCTGCTCATGTTGTCTTAGTGGTGCCTTTGCTCACTCACTGTCCAGCCCCACCCCCCTGCCCCTTACCCCCAGTTGTCTTCAGTGTCTGAGTCCCCTACGAGACCATCAGCTTCACCTGGGCAGGGCCTTTTTGCTTTCTTCACTGCTGTATCCCCAGCCCCTAGAGCAGGGCCTGGGACCCTGCTGGTCCTTGGGGAGTGCCTGTTGAGGAAGGGGAGGAAGGGAAGGGCCCACAAGTCCTCACCCTCCCGCTCTCCTTCCCCATGCAGGTGTCTCATGTCTTCACCAACTTCGGCAAGGGTATCCGCTACGTGTCTTTTGAGCAGTATGGGAGGGACACGCGTTCCTGGGTGGGCCACTATGGCGCCCTCGTGACCCACTCCAGTGTGAGGGTCAGGATCCGCCTGTCCTAGCCGACCAGGCTGATCCAGCCTTCCAGAATATACTGCCATTTGCCGGACATCATCATCAGTCAAGGGCAGCTTTGCAGCTGGGAGTCGGGTGCCTGTGGACAGTGGGGGTCCCACGTGGCCCATTCCCGGTGGCCCTCCGGTGAACCCTACTTGCTGCTGCTTCGGCATGGTGGCCCACATGCTGTGCAAGAAACCAGGGATCCAACCACGCTGCTCACAACTTCCCCACCTTCCTGGGGTGCAGGAAGTTACTCAAGAGTAATTCAGATGTTTACTTTGCTTGCAAATTGTTTTCTTACACGAGTGGATGTTTATTGGTGGACTGAGTCAAAAAACAAAGGCCAAACCAGGATTTGTAACAGTGGGGGACAGTGACTCCTGTCTGCATATTTGTGGGGTAAGCCGACTGCCCAGCAGGGAGCAGAGGTTAGGTGGGGCAGTCTGTCCTTGAGGTCACCAACAGGGGCATCAAAGGGAACCCTTTCTGTAGTCTTGGGGGTCTCTGGGATTCAGATGTGAGGCCTATGTGACCTCCTCCAGCACCACTCATCAGCACCTGCCCTTTGAGCCTGGCTGGTGCCATTCCTTTCAGAACTCCTGAGATCCTGCTGATCCCCCCAAACCATGACCCCCCCCACACCTCCTGCTTCTGGGGGCAGGTCCCCTCCCGCTAGGCAAGACTCCTTTTCTCCACTCTCTTGCATTCAGACTCCAAGAGCAAGGCGTGCCACAGGGGAAAGGGCTCATGCCTGCCTCCCTAGTGTCTGTGCTATTTCCCCACCTGGGCACAGCCAACAAACTAGCTCATTAAATTGGTGCTAAATGTGAACAATGGGGGACTTTTGTCTGTAATCAATGCACTGTCTGCCCCCAGCCCTAATCCTAAAAGGCCTATGGGAGGTTTCCAATCGTGAGAACTTCAGGAGGTGTGCTAAGCTCCATGCAGGAAACGGAGGGCAGGCAGTTATTTATTCGGTCCAGGAGGAAACAAGTTCAGAGTTTCAATGACCCGCTCAAGGTCACCTGGCCAGTAAGCAGGGAAGGCAGGACTTGCACAGAGCCCAGTGATGGAAGGACAGCTCCCAGTGGCCACGCATGTGATCAGGTGAGGTCAGTATTACTCTTGGTGCCATTTCCCGAGGGAGGAAACTGAGGCCCAGAGGGGGAAACACAAATATTCAAAGTCAGAGAACAAAGAGGGAGAGCCAGGATTTGGACCCAGGTGTTTGAGAGTCTGGAAATAACCTAGAGGAGCAGCTCCCAGGCAGGCAGCAGCGCATGCCCTCCGAGCCTTTCAACACCGCTTCCACAGATGAGGAAGCTTGACAGCCGGGCTGTCCTTGCCCAGATCCTGGGCCTGCGGGAAAGGGAAATGGGCCTCAGTGCTGCCTACCTGACTCCAGAGCTTCCCACGGAGTAGCCACCTGCAGGTGTCCTGCACTTAGAGCATCGAATTTCATCTTCACCAACCCAACAAGGAGGATACAGTAAGTGGAGCTGTTTTCTGGAGGAAACCAAGGCCCATCGGGAATCTCTATGGCTAATACCACGCGGTGGGCAAATACCGTGCAGGAGGGTTCACCCGACAACCGTCAGGGGCGGAGGGGTCTGTGTGTTTATTGCAACCCCTTCCCAGCAGATGGCAGTACAGGGCCCTATCCCAGCAGAAGGGGTCCCCCCCCCCAAGCCCATGCTCTATACACGGAAGGCAAAGGTGTGCACAGAGGGGTGCTTTTACTAATCCACACCCAGAACCCCTGTGGGCAAGTAGTGTTCCAGCTGGAAGAGGCAAAGCCAGGATTTGCACCCAGGACCAGGTGCTTCCAGAGCTGGAAGAACTTCCCAAGGATACTGCGGGCACCCAGAGAGGAAGGTTCTTATTCTGGGTGAACCCCAGCCTGCCAAGGTGGCCCTGGCGGTCACTTCTTCTTCTGCACGTGGCCGCAGTCATACTTGCCACGCACAACAGTGAGCTTCACGCCAGGCAGGTCCTGAGTGCGGCCGCCCTGCACCAACACGACGTGGTGCTCCTGCAGGCTGTGGCCCTCTCCGGGGATGAAGCACACGGCCTCTCGGCCGTTGCTGAGCCGCACGCGGCAGCACTTGCGGTTGGCCGAGTTGGGTTTCTTGGGCTTTCGGATGAACGTGCGCAACACTACCCCCTTCAGCTGCGGCCGGCCGGCCGTGGGGCCCAGAGGTGGGGGCGGCCGCTTCAGGAGCCCTCGGCGGTGCATCTGGTTCAGGGTGGCCATGGGGCGGCTGGCCCAGAGCTGGGAGGCCAGGGCTAGGCCTGGAAACACACAACCGGGAGGGCGGGGGGGGGGGGGTTTATCCCAGTGAATGGGTAAGAGTTCTAGGCATGGTTCCAAGCATGTATTTGTTTCTGTCTGGGGGTAGTCACAAATAAGAGTAATAACATCTACTGGGCAACCATCACCTGTCAGGTTCTATTTTAAACATTTAATGTGAATTAGCTCCTTTTATTGTGCAAGGAAGGTAGCGACTTTAATGCTGTTTAAAAATAATAAAAGCGATCAGATTTACATCGTGTCCTGGACTGTTCTATGCACTGTACCTACGTGAACTCATGCCACCTCCACAGCAACGCAATGGGGTGTTTCAGGGAGGTGTCCCTCCTCCTGCCCGTCATACCCACTTCCAACCCCCATATGCAGATGATGTCAGCCGAACTTTGATACAGACCCTTTCCTCCCTCCTCCACTGCATCCACTCTGGCCCTGTCCAGCCTCGCCTATTGAGCCCTACTTCTCCCCCCTCCTACAGTCTGGTCCCCACATGCAGCCAGAGGGAGCCTGTGGACAGCTGGGTCAGATCATGCCCCACCCTGCTCAGAGCCCTCCCTCCTGCAGTGCCATCTCACTCAGGACAAAGCCAAAGTCCTTTCCGTGGCCCATGAAGCCCCAGGTGATCTGCCCCCATTACTTCCCTGACCTCATCTCCCTACTTGCCTCCTTACTCATCCTGCTCCAGCAGGTGTCCCAGACACACCAACAGAAAAGGGAGCAGTGTGGCTGCAGTGGACTAAGAAGACGGGTAGGGGAGGGGCACCTGGGTGGCTCAGTCGTTAAGCGCCTGCCTTCGGCTCAGGTCATGGTCCCGGGGTCCTGGGATCGAGCCCCGCATCGGGCTCCCTGCTCCGCGGGAAGCCTGCTTCTCCCTCTCCCACTCCCCCTGCTTGTGTTCCCTCTCTCGCTGTGTCTCTCTCTATCAAATAAAAAAATCTTTAAAAAAAAAAAAAAAGAAGACAGGTAGGGGAGGGAATATATTTCCAAGGCAAACTGATGATTTGTTCATGGATAGGATGTAAGAAGATGCCACCATAACCAGATTCTCTTCAGCAAACATTCACTGAGCACCTACTGTCTTGGCCCCAATAATGGAGGCACAATGGTGACAGAGACAGCCCTGGGCATACCCTCTTGGAGCTCCCAGTTCAGGGCTTTAGGTTCATCCTTTTCCTGTCACTAGGACGGATGACCTTTTACACTCAAACTTTATACTCTCTCCCTATCCAGGGCAGGTCCTGGCCCTACTATCCATTTCTATGTCTCCTTATGTGTCAAGTTACAGTAGAATCCTCAAAGGGGGTGAGACATTGCTAGAAGCCTTTTCCTAGTGGTATGCCCTTGAGCAAGACTCTGCTTCTCAGTGCCTCGGTGTCCTCACTGTATCAGAAGCACCAGAATCACACCTCCTCGAATACGGTGTATGAGAGGCTACGGTGAGAGATGCATGTCAAACTAGCCCAGAGTTCCCGGGCAGGTCGCAAGCCTGTCATGTGATCCTTGGTGAGTGGCAACCAGAAAGTGCTTAATAAAAGTTTGCAGAGTGACTGGCCATGAGAAGCATCTGATGTCTGCCGAGCCCATAAGGACATAAACAAAGCATCCCTCTCCGTGCCTGGCACACACCAGGATCTTGAAAAATATCAGCTGAATGAATGAGTTAAACCCTTTGCTTGGATGTCTCACCCAGGGGAGGTTATTTAATAAGTATTTGCTGAGGAAATCAATAATTGACCCAAACTCCTGGTACCCACCTGACGACCTCTAGTCGCCCCCAACGCAATGACTTCCCACCTCTTGCCCTTGCAGCCCGAGCTCCGCTAAAACCTACCATGCATCCGTGCATCCCTAATTTAAAACCCCGATTTCCCCCCGGGGCTGCGGCAGAGGCACCCAAGTCCCAGAGGGGATAACCCTCGTCCAGCTGCGTCTCTGCAGCTCAAGCCCCCAACTTACCAGAGCTTAGGGACGTGTTCAGGCCACGGAGAAAGCCGGACCAGGACATCCCGCTGCCAGCAGGGTCCCTGTGTTAGGGGATGAGAGAATCAGGAAGGAAGAGGGAAAAGTGGCCGTAGCCGGGGAAGGGCCCCAATTCTCCCCATCCTGTCCTCAGAGCCTTCGGATTAAACCCAAGGAATTTCCTGACGGTCGAACCACAACCCCTCACGCTGCTGACAGAAATTCCCTCCTTAAATTTAGTTTCGCTCTGAGTAGGCTCTCGGGCACCCAGCAACCTCTCCCGCCCACCCGCCGCCCCTCCCCCCGCACACAGGAGGAGAAGGGAAACTGAGGAGAAGGCCGGGGAGATTTGGAGAACCCGAGGATCCCATCTACTTCAACCGACCCTAGCTGGGTCCGCAGGCACGCTGAACAGGCTTCTAGCCACTTCCGGAGGCCATCCCAGCCGGGATTGGCTGGACCTGCCTCTCGTGTGCACTGAGGGGCGGGACACAAGCGACGATTGGTCAACGACAGAGTCAATCTCAGTCAATTTTTCTCGTCGGACTCTGTTTGAGGCACGAGAGGCACTCACCCGGTCCAGGGTCTGATTGGCAGGGCGGCTGCTTTGCAATTGGTCTAAACGCGGAGTGGGCGGGACAAAGGGTGCGTGGCTCCTTGTCTCCTGTCCAAGATGGCTGCGTCCGTGGCGCGGCGCTTGTGGCCTTTGGTGGCTGCTCGGGGTCTTTGGCCCCGGAGAGGCTGTGTCTGCAGCCATAGCCCAAGGAGAACTTTTGCCACGGAGAGACAAGGCCGGAACCTCCTGTACGAGCACGCGCGCGAGGGCTACAGCGCTCTCCCTCAGCTGGACATGGAGTCGCTCTGCGCATGCCCGGAAGAGGCCGCGCGCGCCCTACGGCTCCGCAAGGGGGAGCTGCGGCCGGAAGACCTGCCCGCGATCGTGAGTGCGCTTGCGTGGGCCATCAGCTGCGGGGCCGAACTGGGCTTGCAAGATACTCTCCAGCAGGGGGCGAATCTATTACGGGAATTTTCGTTCCTCCCCAAGTTTAGCCAGCCTGGTGTGCTTGGCACGCATACGTGTGCCAGTTATCCGCGGAGTGCTAGGGCCCTACTATCTACACACCCATTATGCGTCGGTTTGAGTACCTGCTTTGCGCTTAGGAACTTACTACCTGCCCATGTCCTCTGGGCTCCAACCTCATGCCAGGCTTAAAACGACAAAAGAAAATGGGGGGAGGGGGCAGAACATGGGGGACAGGGATGTGAATCAGACGAGGGTGGAGGGGTTTGCCTTTGGAGAGTAAGAGGTGGAGACCTGCCGCTGCCCCACAGGTAGCAGGGTAGATAGGGTTACCTAATGAATGAACGGTTCTACCGAACGGTTATTTAAGGAGCATCTACTATATCCCAGGTGTTGAGAATAAGTTGGTAAGTAATACAATATTACATGCTAGGGATCGAGAACCAGAGTCACCATATTGCTAGACCTTGCTGAGGTGCTGAGGATGGTCCTGTTCTAAGTGCTCTGTACATATTTGCCTCGTTTCAGTTTCACATCCACCGTATGAGGTAGGTGCCATTATTGCCCCCATTTTATCAGAGGAGAAACTAAGGCTCAGAAAAACTAATTAAAAAGGGTGGCGGTTCCTCAAAAAGTTAAACATGGAATTACCCTATGATCCCGCAATCCCACTTCCGGGTATATGCCCCAAAGAACTGAAAGCAGGGACTTGAACAGGTATTTGTATACTGACGTTCATAGCAGCATTACTTACAGTAGCCAAAAGATGGAAGGAACCCCAGTGCCCGTAGATGGATGAATAGATAAACAAAATGAGGTATATACGTACAGGGGTTGGGGGGAGCAGGGAATGGGAAGATAACGTTTAATGGGTGTAGAGTTTCAGTTTGGGAAGATAAAGGTCTGGACATGGACAGTGGGGATGGCTGCACAACAGTGTGAAGGTACTTAATGCCCCTGAACTGTACACTTAAAAATCGTTAAAATGGCAAATTTTATGTGTACTTTACCAAGGCCTTTTATTTATTTATTTTTAAGATTTTATTTATTTAATTGACAGAGAGCGAGACAGCGTGAGAGGGAACACAAGCAGGAGGAGTGGGAGAGGGAGAAGCAGGCTTCCCGCCGAGCAGGGAGCCCGATGCGGGGCTCGATCCCAGGACCCTGGGACCATGATCCGAGCCGAAGGCCAACGCTTAACCAACTGAGCCACCTAGGCACCCCTTTTTACTTATTTTTTAAAAAGATTTTATTAATTCATTAGAGCGAAAGAGAGAGAGAGCGTGTGTGAGTGCGCATGAGGGACGAAGGGCAGAGGGAGAGGGAGAAGCAGACTCCCTGCAGAACACAGAGCCTGACACAGGGCTCGATCCCAGGACCCTGCGAACATGACCTGAGCCAAAGTCAGACACTTAACCGACTGAGCCACCCAGGAGCCCCTACCACAGCCTTTTAAAGTGCTGGTTTAGAGATCCTAAATTATTCACAGCCTACTAATGGATCACATCCCAAAGCTTGAAAAACACACCTTTAGGGCGTGAAGCGTGAAGAGAAGTATGGCATGTGGCTTTCTGGGCAATAACAAGGCATGTGAATTGTTCCTCGGAGCCCTGGGAAGCTATGGGTGCTTTCAGGCGGGAGAGCGCTTGTGTAAGAACTCTGGCTGGAGGAGGTGAGCCTGCAGGCTGGGAGGCTGGCACAGGGGTCCTCGCGAGAGAGGACAGGCTCTGGATGGGGGCAGGAGTCAGGGGATGGGAGGAGGACAGACTTGATGGATGTCCCTGAGGCAGAAGGGTCAGGACATGGTGCCTGGCCACAGGGCCGGGGTGGGGGATGGGAGTTCTTGGGGCTGTGCCTAAGGAGGAAGAGCAGATCTGGGGGAAGAGGTGCCTGTCCTCGAGTCACTCTTGCACAGAGTGAGCATGAAGTGTCCAGGAGACATCCAGGGGGAGCCGCCTTGTGGCCTGCCCTCCCCTTCCTGCGTCCAGCCCCCAGGAGGGAGGACGGTGTTGTTTGCGCCATTTGGTCAAAGGGAGAACCACAGCCAGAGAGGTCCGAGGGGTTTGCCCAGGGATGTGGGCTCACAGAGGGACCTCACAGCCGTAGGGATGCCCATGAACGAGAGCCGAGCCTGCCGTGTGGGAGGGCACAGGTTTGGCGTGGCAGCCCCAGAGGACGGCTGCCTCTCTCTTCTGCGAGACTCCGAGGTGATCGCTGGCGGGGCCTCAGCTCCATGCCCCTTGGCACCTGGGTCCTTTCACCTTCTTGCTCCGCATCCCTCAGGATGTTGTCCAGTTTGGCTCTCCTCCCAGTCCGTCATCTGGTCCCAGGGGACTGAGAGACAGAAAGTCCAACGTGGGGGCTTATCTTTAAGGAGGTGACCCAAGTCACACTGCCACTTCTGCTCATGTCCACTGGTTGAACTTGGACACGGGAGTACACGCAGCTGTGCGGGAGGCTGGGAAACGTGTCTTCATTCTGGGCAGCCACGGGCTTCACATCAGGGAGCGCTAGTGTGGGGTGGGGGGGAAGGGAGGGGGACTGGCCACTGGGGTCCAGGTGGCCAGAGGCCGAGGCTGCAGGAAGAAGGGGCAGGACACAGTGGCCACTTCACGCCTTTCCCTCCCGTGTCCACCCCCAGATCTCCACATGGCAGGAGCTGAGGCAGCTGCGGGAGCAGATCCGGAGTCTGGAGGAGGAGAAGGAGGCTGTGTCTGAGGCAGTACGGGCCCTGCTGGTGAGCATGGGGGTCCTAGGTGGGCGGAGCTTCACCCTCTTGATTCGACTTCAGTTTCCCCTCTCGCAGTCCACGGTGGCTGGCGTAGTACCCACATCTCTTTGTATGATGCCGCCGGAGGTAGAAAACGGGACTTTTCTGGGGCTTGCGTGCCCTTTTTCAAGAGCAGGGAGACTTTCCCGAAGCATCCAGCAGGGTCCCCTCATGCCTCTTGGGCCCAGACACCCCACACCCACACCTGTCATCAGCAGGAGGGACAGAGTTACTGCAGCGGGCTTAGGGATCCTTGAGAGGCAGCCCACGCTCCCTGAACTACAGGCTGCGCAGGGAGGGTGAACTGAGTCAGGTGTCTGTGGGACTGGAGGACAGAGGGCAAATAGTCTTGGGTTGGACAGCCAACAGCATCTGCCACAGGGGGTGGAAAAGTCATCATAAAATCAACAGCAGACATTTATATAAGCAGTCACTGTGTGCCAAGCATCGTTCTAGGTGCAGCCCTCACAACACTGGGAGACAGGGACAGTCCAAACCCAACTTGCAACTGACGACACCGGGGCCCCAGGAGGTTAAAAATGTGCCTCCGTGTCACAGCCAGAAAGTTGGGGCAGGATTCGCACCCAGGCATTCAGGCTGCTTTCCACCACTCCGCTCGAAGGCCAGTTGCAAGGCTAGTGACATCTCCCGGTGACCCTACTACGGAAGTGCCAGGCCCCGGGTGACGTGCGTCACAGGCGGGCAGACAGTGCAGACAACAGAAGTGATCACAGTTAGCGTTCAGTGAGTGCTAACCCATCTTTCCAGGGAAGCCATGCGCCAACCCTGCTGGGGAGCTCCTGTGAGCCCATTTCACAGATGGGCATACCGAGGCTCGGAGAAGGGACGAGGTTTGCCCAAGGACGCACAGCTTGGAGGCACCCCACATTCAGACTCCAGTCTAGCCTGCTTTCTCCTCTGCTGCTCCAGATCGTAGAAGGTCACAAGTCCACAGACTTTACCTCTCCAAGTCTCGGTTTTGTCATTTACGAAATGGGGAGCACAGCGAGGCCCGCTTTATGGAGTAGGTTATGGAGAAATAGGACCGTGTGAGAGCCCTCTGTGGAGACAGGTAGCTCCTGGTCAACAGAGCTGCAGGTGTGATTACTGTCCGTTATCTTGCCTCCTCCCGGCTTTACTGAGAGAGAAACTGAGGCACAGACGTCTGTCCGGCCAGGCATCTGCAGAGCAAGGAATTCAGAACCCCTTCCCCACCCCCACCCCACACCCCCTGGCCCTGTTTGACCTTTCACCCCTCCATTTTTCCCACCTCCCTGGCCCCAACTTCAGGAACCTAATCACCCTCTCCGTCTCTTCCACCAGGTAAACCAGGACAACGGTGAGGTGCAGCAGGTACTACAGGGGGTTGATGCCCATCCCTAGTGGGAGCGGGCAGGTGCCCCATGAGTCCTGATTCCTACAATGTGACCAAAGACAACAAACAGGACTGTTGACCCAAGTGAATCTATTGATTCATGAGACAAAAGGCCGGCTCTGGGTCCTGGCTCCATATTTGGTTCCGCTTTCTTCTCATTCCCAGGCCAACTTTCTCCCCTTAGGGAAAGGGGAGCCAGGATGGCGCGCAAAGGGGGCCACTTCCCTGACAGCTGCACCCGTAGTCCTGGGGCTTGGGTCATGTGCCTGTCTTTGAGCCTGTCACTGTGGCCAAGGCCATAGAATGTTCTGGTAGGCCAGGCCTGAGTCATGACCCTCTGGACATGCCACATGGTGGTGAGGGGAAGGGAGGGAATTTCCCAAAAGGAAACTCAGCATGTCGGGCCAAAGAGACAATGAGCGTCCGCCACACAGGTTCTGCCAGCAAGGCTCGAGGTCAGACTGGTTTGAGGGACCCCTGCCCTTTCCTGGGCTGACCCCACCTGCCCCCGCCCCCAGGACCCCCAATATCAGAGCCTGCGGGCACATGGCCGGGAGATCCGCAAGCAGCTCATGGTCCTGTACCCCAAGGAGACCCAGCTCGAGGAGCAGTTCTTCCTGCAGGCGCTGAGGCTGCCCAACCGGACCCACCCGGACGTGGTGAGCACCGTGCTGGGCCCGGGGGGGCCCGGGGGGTCCGCCTGGGACCACCTCCCCTGTGACTCCCGCTGTCTCTCTGCAGCCCATCGGGGACGAGAGCCAGGCCCGAGTGCTGCACGTGGTCGGAGACAAGCCAGGTGGGCCACCCCCCAGGCTGGGGTGGGGACCCCCGGGGTCTGGGATGTAGCTGGACCCTGTAGAAGGCCTGTGCCCCTCCCCCAGCCTTCCGTCCTGTGTGTGCACGGCAGTCTGTCCCTGCCCCACTTTGGCCCCTGATTCCCTTGGGTTTTCCTCCCTGACTCTGGTCTGGCCCTGGCTCTCTGTCCTCCTCCAGCTTTCTCGCTTCTTCCTAATGTTCTCTTCCCTTTGCCCTCTCTCTCCTTTTCCACCTCTGCTTCCTGTGTCTCTGTTCATCTCTCTCCCCCTTTGCCAGGCCCGTCTCTGCCGCCACCCCATTCCCTTTCTCTCCCTGCCTCCCCCTCCCTTCCACTCCTCTCCTCCCCCTTCCCTTGGTCTCCCTCTCTGTCTTATTGCCACTCATTCCTGCCGGCTCTCTAATCCTCTCTCTGTCCCTGTTCCATGTCTCTCCCCCTAACTCTTACCCCACCGCTTTTCATCCTGGTCCAGCTTTCTCCTTCCCACCCCGGGGCCATCTGGAAATCGCCGAGAAACTTGACATCATCCGTCAGAAGTAAGTGCCACCCACCCTCCCCACCCCAGCAGCTGGCTCAGCACCGGGTGGGAGCCGCCGGGGCCTCACCCTGCATGAATGTTTGATGCCCAGTCCCCCGCCTGGCAGCTGGCCTCTGCCCTGGGGTGCAGAAGAGTCCCCCTCATCCCCCACCAGCCCCGGCCCACACACACCCGCCTGTCTGCCCATCTGTCTCCCAGGCGCCTGTCCCACGTGTCCGGCCACCGCTCCTACTACCTCCGTGGGGCTGGGGCCCTCCTGCAGCACGGCCTGGTCAACTTCACACTCAACAAGCTCATCCACCGGGTATGGGCCAGTCTGGGAGGGCTGCCTGGTTGGGGGGGGGGCGGGGGGGCATGGACGCGGACTCAGAACGCTCAAGGCGGGGAGGTGGGGGGGGGACACCTCTGCTCTAGTCACTGTTTACAGAGCTTTACACGTATTATTGACACATTTCGTTCCTAGAGCAGCGGTGGGAGGTAGTGCCATTATTATCCCCACTTCAGAGATAGAGAAATGAAGGCCTGGAGAGGGCGTGACTAGCCCAGGATGTCGTGGCTGCTGCCTGGGGCTGGCCCTAGAGCCTGAGCCCATCACCTCCCCGCCTGCCTCTAGCAGAAACGGAGCACCAGGGAAATGTGTTACTGAACCGGGAGGGCTTGGCAGGGGCTGGAGGCGTGGGGCGTGGGCGGCGGTGAGGGACCCAGACATTTCCTGAGGGCGCTGGGGAGCCACAGAAGCTTTCACTATACCTCCCCCTACCCTGTGTCGCTGAACTGAGTGAGGAAACTGTGAAGCCCCAGCAGAGGGCCCCGAAGCCAGCTCCAAGCCCACCGCTCAGGCCTTCCTCAGTTTCCTCTGAGGTGGAGTGGGCTTTGTGGCCCATTCTGTGGTGCCGCTGCTTCCGGTTTGAGCTTGGGGCCGGGTGGGGGTCCTGGCTGCGCTCCTCACCGCACCCCCTTCCTCTTCACAGGGCTTCACTCCCATGACAGTGCCAGACCTTCTCCGAGGAGCTGTGTTTGTGAGTGCTCCCCACGCCCAGCTGTGTGCCAGTTTTGGGGACCCCAGGCGTGAAGAACAGCCTGTCTCCCCCGGCAGAGACCACCCTGGGACCGGGTTGAGGGTGTCGGGCCACAACAAGGCGGCCAGGGCAATTCCAGAAGCTTCCTGGAGAGGAGCGGGGGTTGTGACTGCAAAATGGAGGCCGAGGTCCTCTGTACCCTGACCTCTGTGGCTTGGCCTCCTCCCCAGGAAGGCTGTGGGATGACACCAAATGCCAACCCATCCCAGATTTATAACATCGACCCCTCCCGCTTTGAAGACCTCAACCTGGCTGGGACAGCAGAGGTGGGGCTTGCAGGTAAGCACCTGCCTGGGGGCAACAGCAGGGGTGAGGATACCTCCAGCATCCTCAGAGCAGCAGGGATTGTAGGGGGACAACCAGGAGCATCCTAGGGATGATGGCTGCCTGCCGAGGATGTCCCAGTGACCCCAGGGCCAACATGTACGGTTGTGTAGGTTGTTTACTGCACAACAGCCCAGTGAGGATCCAGCTACTGCCTTGCCGTGAGATTGTGTCCACCAGAGGGGTGCCTTTTCTAATTCTCACAGAGGTTTCCTGTGGATGGGTGGCGCCCCTAGCTGACCTATCCTGTTCCCCTCTTCCCCCAGGCTACTTCATGGACCACTCCGTGGCCTTCAGGGACCTGCCCATCAGGTGATGCTCAGTTCCTTTAGATCTTGTCCCCACCCATGACATTCCCTCTCCCCTCCCTGACACCACCTCCCCTGCTTCCCCCAGGATGGTTTGTTCCAGTACCTGCTACCGGGCTGAGACAGACACAGGGAAGGAGCCATGGGGACTATATCGAGTACACCACTTCACCAAGGTTGGTGTAGCTGGGACTGGGGAGGAGGGCCATTACAGTGATCCAGGGTCTCCTGACTCCTGTGCCCACTGCACTGCCCCAGGTGGAGATGTTTGGAGTGACAGGCCCTGGGCTGGAGCAGAGCTCACAGCTGCTGGAGGAGTTCCTGTCCCTGCAGATGGAGATCTTGACTGAGCTGGGCCTGCACTTCCGGTGCGGAGAAGGGTGGGGGTGCGGGAGGAGGGATGGGCTGGCTAGGTACTCCCTCATCGTGAACAGCCTCATCACCCCCATCCCCCCCGCCCCCTTTTCCCGTATTAGGACTATCTGCAGGGTGTGTGTCTGTCAGGCTGTAAAATCCCGTGTAGGACCATAGGACGGGGCCAGCAGCCTAAGCAGCACAGGGCGCTCCAGTGTAGAGGCCCAGGCCCCTTCCCTCTCCTGGCTCCGATCCCTCGGTGCCACCCCATCCCCCATCTGTACTTCACCCCAGGCAGCGCCTCAGCACCCTGGGCAGAGTGGAGGTGGGGGCACACCCCTTCCCTTTCAGGCAGCCCCACGCCCCCCTCCCCGAGCCCTGTCCGTCACAGGCTTCCAGAGAGGCCTGGGGATGTGGGCTTTTTCCTTGGGGACCCATTACAAACCGGGGGTGCTGAGAGTGGCCCATGCTTTCTCCTCCCCACCCTCTTCTCCATCCACTTTTCTGTCACCCCCCCCTGCCGCCGCCTCCGCCTCTCACCCACTGACCTTCACCATGACCTTCTCTTCCGCGGCAGCATCCTGGATATGCCCACCCAGGAACTGGGCCTTCCCGCCTACCGCAAGTTCGATATCGAGGCCTGGATGCCAGGCCGCGGCCGCTTCGGTGAGGTGAGCCCCCCGTGCGGTGGGGATGCCTGGTGGGAACGAGACGGGACCCCCTACCCCCCCACAGCTGATCCTCTCAGCCCACCCCGCCCCCTCGCCCAGGTCACCAGCGCGTCCAACTGCACGGACTTCCAGAGCCGCCGGCTACACATCATGTTCCAGAAGGAGGCTGGGGAGCTGCAGTTCGCCCACACGGTGAGCGCCCGCACCCCCCTCCCACCCGCCCCAGAGCCTCCATCCTCCTAGGCCCACGCCACCTCAGCCTCTCCCAGGCCAGTGGAGGTCATCATGTGGACGCGAGCGTACTTCTCTCCCAGGTGAACGCCACGGCCTGCGCCATCCCCCGCCTCCTCATCGCCCTCCTGGAGAGCAATCAGCAAGAGGTGAGGCGGGCGAGGATCGCACGCGGGGAGGCAGAGGGTGCAGGCCTGGGGCAGTGGCAGCGACCTGAGGCCTGCTTTGTCCCCAGGATGGCTCAGTCCTCGTGCCCCCTGCCCTCCAGCCCTACCTTGGCACTGATCGGATCACGGCCCCCACCCACGTGCCTCTCCAATACATCGGCCCCAACCAGCCCCAGAAGCCCAGGCGCCCGGGCCGGCCTGTTTCGAGCTGAGAACTCACCCCCATCAGTCAGCCGGGCTGTGGCTGCTTCCTGGAGCTCGGGGGACCCTGGAAGCCCGGGACCTATTTTCCTGAGCAGAGTCCTGACATCTGCAGCTCCGTGCCTGGGCCCCTTCCCTACTTCCTCAGAATCAGCCAGTGACCCCGTCGCCACTGACGGTCCCAGCCTGCACCAGAAAGCAGGACATCTGGGGACTTGAAGGTTGTAGGAATGAGGGGAAAAGAGGAAGAAGCCTCCAATACTCCTTCCTCCTTCCCTCCCTCAGTACTTAGCAGGAAGTCCCCAATAAATGGTCAGAACCAAGGCCTTTGTGGATCTGTGAGCAAGGCGGAGGACCCTGGCCGACTCGCTGGGCATGCTGGCCAGAGGTGCTAAACCATCCCAGGGGCTGTGGCTGGAGGGACTGTGGCCACAACCCCCAGAGCACATGGAGGGCAGCTTGGGGGCCACCGCCGGAACTGAGAGCATGCCAAGTCCTCTCCCCTTGCTCTAGAACAGGGGGCACCTTGCACTGACCCCGGTTTCAACCTCACCCCTCCACCCCCCACGGCTAGGAGGGGTCCAGGAGACAGCACAGCCTTAGCGAAGCCAGAACTCGCTCTGCCCCTCGCCGTGCCCGTCCAGTGACCCTCAACTCCTCTCACACCTGCGTCAGTCCTTCCTTCAGCAGACCCTGGCCACTCCTCCTTCAGAGTATCTCCAGAAGCCACCCTTACTCTCTCCTCCCTAGTCCTGTTCACTGTGACTGACGAGCCTCTTCACTGCCTCCTGGCTCCCTGGGCCCCCACACGAAGCCAGAGCGACCCTATGGACCCCCGGGTGAGGTCACGTCCCTCCCCTGCTCGGAGCCCTCACGGGAAAGGACAGAGTGGTCCCCAGGATCCACAGAGCCCCACATGATCTGCCCCCTGCCTTCCTCCTCAACCCGCCTCTTGTCGGTCTTCCTTTGGGGCTGGCTGTTCGAACTCTGCAGACTCATTCTTGACTCAGACCTTTGCCCTCGCTGGTCCCTTCCCTGGCGACGCTTTCCCTCCATCTTGCGTGATTGCCTCCATCTTATCACTCCGGCCTGGGCGCAAATACTCTCTTCCGAGAGGACTTCCCTGACCCGCCAGAGTAAAAGCCCCCAGCGCTCATGTGATGCAGGAGTCCGGGGTCATTTCCTCTTTTTCCTGACGCATACTTGACTATTACATCGGTCCCTTCTCAAATGTCTGCTCCAAGAGCCCAGGGAAGTGTGTCCGCTGCTGAAGCCCTGGGCTTTGTAAGAGGGCTGGGCATAGAGTAGGTGCTCAATAAAAATTCCCAGCCGGAAGGGGCTGGGACCTGCGTAGTGCCCAGTACCCCGTGCCGTCTAAATGACCTTCTGCACTCAGCTACCGCCACGCCTCACTTGTGGAGTCGCGGCCGCCGACCCCATTTCACAAAGGATGGAACCAACCCTAGAGAGGCCCGGCAGTTTTCCCCGGGCCGCACAGCTGTTGGTGGTGGAACTGGGATGCAGGCAGGGCCCAGCCACAACCTCTGGGACAAGAGGTTTAGGAGACCCAAATTTTGAGATGAGGAAATGGCCCAAAAGAGGAGTTGCCTGAGGTCTATCTGCAAGTGGCTGCCACTGGTTTCGAACCCCGGTCAGCTTCCCAGTGCAGCTGTAAAGCTCATCAGACTCTGTTTGGGGGACGCACCCTCCCTCTATGCAGGCGCTCAGGGGCCATTAGCTGGAGGGGAGTGGGTGCAGGACGTGGGTCCCCATGAATAATTGAGAGTCTGGGGCAGGTGGCCGCCCCGCAGCTGTCACCCCGCCGCGGGCGGGGAAGGGGCGGTGGGGACGTCACGTCCTCCCCTGCGGGGCCATGGGCGCGGGTTATAAGCAGCTGCTGCGCCGCCAGCCAGCACCGCACCAAGCACCCTGGTCGGGACGCCCCACGATGCAGCGCCGCGGGCCCCTATCAGTGCTGCTGTTGCTGCCGCTGGCCCTGCTGCTGGGGGCGGGTGAGTGCCAGAAACTGGAGGGGGGGCTTCTGCGGCCAGCTCGGGGACCAGGGACTCGAGGGACCAGGGGCGGGAACGGTGCACCCAGAGACTTCGCGGGCTGAGCTTCTGGGTGGGGACGGTACACCTGGCAGGTAGGCTGGGGGAGGGGACAGGTCAGTAACGGGATGCATCTTGGAGCTGGGATCAGCACCGAGGACAGCACCCGGGGGGGGGTTGTCCGAGCCCAGCACCCATCTCCTTCCTCCACAGCCACCGCTGCTCCCTTGGCACCAAGACCCTCCAAGGAAGAGGTGAGGAGTGCAGACCCCTTGCCCTGCCCCATCTCCCCCGCACCCTGGCCCTCTCTGACCAGCCTAAATGATCATCTCCTCTCCACACCCCCAACTGCTCTCATTGCCCCCCCCGCCCTGCCCTCAACCTCCCCTCTGACCCTTCACCCCCAGCTGACCCGCTGTCTGGCCGAGGTGGTCACGGAAGTGCTGACACTGGGTCAGGCCCAGAGAAGCCCCTGCACAGCTCTCCTCCACAAAGGTAAGCAGGGCCCAGGCCCCAGTTCCTCTTGGGTGCCCCCACCCCACCCAGGGTTTCGGTCAGGGTTTCCTGGAGGAAGGGGTGTCTTCTCCCAGAGCCCCCTTGCCTGGGTTGGCACAGCACAGCGCAGTGTCCAGCCTGGCCTCCAGCTCCACCCTTGGGGTTCCCTGCAGAGGTACGGGATGGGGGCAGAGAATGTCCCTCAGACCTGAGCCGCCTCTCCCAGTTTTGCGCAGCCCCCCTGTGGGACCTCGGGCAGACCCCAGAACTCCCCCAGGTCTCAGTTTCCCGATTTGCCGCACAGAGAGCATCCTCTCTCTTTCCGCCAGAGATGTGTGAGACAGAGCCCTATGGCTGTGCGTCCACCAAAGAGAAAGGCCTACTGGTTCAAGAGGCTGGGAAGACGAGGCCCAGCCAGGAAGTGAGGGAAGAGGAAGAGGAAGAGGAAGCAGCGGAGAGGGCCCACAAGTCTGAGGTGCAGCAACAGACCATCCAGGAGCAGCTCCACAGCCGGCTCCGCCAGGAGGAGGACGAGGAGGAGGAGGAGGAGGAGGAGAAAAGGAAGAGCAGGCCCATGGAACCCTTTGAAGGCCTGTGGAAGCGGCGCCTAGATGGTGGAGGGGGGCCCCAGAAGCGAGGGGCAGAGCAGGCCAGTGAGGAGGAGACAGCCCAGTTCGAGGCGGAGGAGAAGGGCATGCAGGTGCTCAGCGGGGGCCACAGCCTGTGGCAGGGGGGCGGAGAAGAGGGGCACGAGCACTCACCGCACCACCGCCACCACCAGCAGTCAGAAGCTAAGCCCAAGCAGGAGGAGAAGGAAGAGGCTTCGGAGAGGAAGGTGAGCAGAGGAGGTGATGGGCAAGTGGGGTGGACCAAATGGCCAGTGGGTTACGACTAAACACATACCAGTGTTGGGCCGTAAATAGCCAATGTCCACACAAATGGATCATAGTGACCAGGACTGACACCAGGACGAGGCAGCAGCCTCTGCTGGACCGAGATGGTCAAGATGGCTGAGATTACAGTAACCAAGACGGCCACGAGTGTGGCAGAGAAGTGGCTGAGTTACCACCACTGTGCTCTGTAAGGAGCAGTCTGGCCACATGGGAAGGGGCTGCTGTGCTTGGTTCACCGGACTAGAGATGGACACCGCTGCTGAGCCATGGGAGGTGGGATGTCCCCACGGTTGGTGGCAGTGGCCAAAACAGCCAGCACCTCACAAAGGGGTCATGGCATCCAAGTTGGGCACCTTTACTAGTCCTCTCTGCTGCTGTTCGCTAGGCAGTCAACACGGACCACACTGCTGGTCGCGTTGGCCAACGTAACTCTTCCACTGTGGCCCCCATCGCGGTCCATGGGGACCAGGATGACCACTGCTGGCTGCCGTTGTGCAAAGTGACACAGCCCACATTCACGGGTGACCACTGGGGTGGCCCACCCTTGAAGGTGGGTGCTGACCAGCCCATTTCTGATCCCACCAGGAGCACGACATGGAGCGGCTGGAGCACGTGAGAGAGGAGCTAAAGAAGGCAACGGAGATGCTGGGGGAGATCAGGAGGGAGTGATGACCCCCGATCTCATGTCCTCCTTCCCGACACACCCTATGGCTGAGGACTGTGGACCCCCAAAGCTCACCTAACAGCCCACTCCATTCCCCAACCTGCAGGAACGGGGAGAAGGGTGGGCCATGTGACTGGGCCCAAGGGGCTGAGTCTGAGCTGGGTAGAGGGGCTGGGCTCACACTGACTCAGGACACACCCGGCCTCCCCCGTCACCCACTCCAACCCTTCGGTGTGAATAAAGCACAAAGAAAACCACTGAGGCTTGTATGGCACTTGATTTTGGAGGGACAGGGACCCAGGAATAAACTGGAGGACCGCAAAGGCGACCGTCAGTCTAGTCTCTGGTTGTCAGAACTGGGATTTTATTAAACTGGAAACTCTATTAACAATTAGGTCAGACGGGGTCATCAGGGAGAGGTTTTGAGGCTGGGGTGGGAGGTAGCCGGTTTTGGCCCCGGCCACTGTGGACCACGATGTCGTCGTATTCACCCTGGGGGCAGAGGGGGGCAGGCACAGGGGCTCAGCCGGCTGTCCTCTTGCCGGCTATCCAGCTTCCTCCACCCACCCGGCAACTGGGGCCTTCCTGGAAGCCCAAGTCCCCCCACTCAAATCCCCTGCTCCTAGTTTGCCGACCACCACGTTCAAGGTCACCCATGGCCTCCCGCCGCCCGCCACTGCTCGGGCTCCAGCCCTGCTGCTTCGCCACGGCCGCTGGGGTCTCCCTCCTCTGCACCCCCCACCTCTACCCAGACTCCTCCCCCCCCAACCTTGTCCCCTGCCCAAGGGAGTGTCTCTGCCACCTGGGTTCCCCAACACAACCTCCTCACTGCTGGCTAAGGTCTTTCCCAGCTGCTGCCAGGGTTGGAATCCCTGCTGCCCGAGGTCGGCTTCCCACCACCTGAGTTCTCCAACTCTTGCTTGGCGCGGTCACTGCCTGCGCTGTCAGCCACCGCCGCCAACCGCTGCCATTACCGGTCACTCCGCCTGAGTTCTCCCTCTGCTCAAGCCCTGCTCCCCGCGTTCTCCCCGCCAGCCCTGTCCAGGTCTCCCCGGACAGCTGCCTGACAGCCCTGGCACCGCTGCCTGAGTTCTCTGATCGCAGCGGCCCGAGGTCGGTCTCACTACGCTGCCTAACTTCTCTTCTCCCCCCTTCCCACCTGCCTGTTCACCCTGACCCCCCAGCTAGGCCGCCCGGTCTTTCCTCCTGACTCACGCCCTCGTCCCCGCTGTCACTGTCGCTACTGCTGCTGCAGGGGCCTGGCCTGTCGTCCTCGTCCTCAGGCTCAGGGGCTCCATGTGCACGGAGAAGGCGGGCGAGGATGGGGTTGGGCCGGAGCGTGGCGCTGCCCAGTGGGGTGCGGCCCCCATACATGCGGGTGGCGGGGTCGGCACCTGCCCTCAGGAGGAGCTCCAGCACGTCGGCGGCTTGGGCCTCCACTGCCAAGTGCAGGGGGCTCCGGCCACACGTGGGCTCCTGCACGGAGCAGCACAGAGGTCAAGGAGGCCCTGGCCCACCCCGGGGGGCAACCCTCCCCGCCACGCCTTCTCCCTAGGGCAGCTCACCGGTTTGTTGAGGTCTGCTCCAGCCTCCCGCAGCAGCCGGACCATCTCTGCATCTTTGTGGATGACGGCCACGTGCAGTGGAGTATGGCCTGCGGATAGAGTGACTGGTGTCAGACGACGGGGGTGAGGGGCCGGGGCCCCAAATGCCAATAGGGGAGGGCTTCGTGAGGGGGCTGAGCTTGGGGCCCAGCTCCTGAATTCCTGGGTAAGTCAAAGAGGCAACTGCACCCCCAATGCCTAAGTCTTGGTGGGTCTGGAACTTGCTGGCAGTGCCCATGCCTGGCTTGGGGAATGTCTGGGGCTTATGGGTGAAGAGCCTGGGGGCTGTGGACAGCAAGCCCGGATCCTGGGACCGGGAGACTGAGTCTCTGGTCTTTATTTCACAAAGGACCTGGACCCCAGATTCCTGGATCCTGAGTAGTTGAAGGGCCCGTGACCGTGGGGGGTGGGCTGGGTCCTGAACACTGGGTCCTGGGTGATCTCAGTCCCTTTGTGGAAGGGGCTTGGTCCAGGTAGCTGGGCTTAGAGGTGGGGGACCTGAGACTCAGATGCCAGGGCCCTGGGTAGATGGGCTCTTTTTTCCCATGCGGCCTGGCCGAGGGCTGCCCCTGAACCCAGTGTCAATCTCTGGGAATCTTGGCCTTGAGTTCCCTTGTCCTGGGTAGACTAGGACCTGTGGTTTTGGTAGGAGGGGGTGAGGTCTGGGGTGAGCTGTGCCTTCCACCTGCGGAACCTGGGCCCAACAATAAGATCTCAGTAGTTCTAGGCCTGTGGGTGACAGGTCTGGGTCCCAAGTGGTCTCGGGCCTCCACGCGGTCCGGGTCCTGAATCCCACATGACCGATTCTCAGTAATCTGGGGCCTCAGTGGGAGCCCTTCCCCATGCCTGGGGTCCCTGAAGCCTCAGTGTTATTTCCCAAGGGGCTGGGTCTTGAGTCAGGAGAACGGAGCCCACAGCCCAGTGCTTTCACTCTGCCCAGGAGCCCGGGCCTGCCCAGTGACTGGGAACCCTCACCCTCGTAGTTCTCAGCCTCCAGTTGCAGCTTCCAATCCTCCTCACTCTCTTCATCTTCCTTCTCCGAGTTGGGTTCGGGGTCCAAGGCAACAGGCAGGTGATCGGCTTGAGAGGTGCGGGCAGGGCCCTGAGCGAGGTAGGTGTTGGGGGCTCCCCTGGCGCACCGGGGACGGGGCTGGAGTAGCGCATGAGCACAGGCATGCGCCCTCATGCGGCAGGCCAGGTGCAGTGCCGTGTGGCCCCCACGCTCTGCCACATGCAGGCTGGCACCCGCCGCATACAACTTCTCCACTGCGGAGGCCTCCCCCAGGATGGCTGCCAGGTGAAGGGCTGTCTGCAGGAGCAGAGGGCAGGGGTTAGGGGTTGCACTGAGAGCCCGGCCCCAAGCCCTGTACTAGCCCTGGGTGGCTCACCTGGCCCAGGTCATTCTGCAGGTCCAGGTACTCAGTGCCAGCCGCGAAGCCTAGGAGGAAATCCAGGAAGGGCTCGTGCTGATGAATCACTGCCAAGTGCAGTGCCCTGAAGACAAAGACAGGGAGCAGAGGACAGAGGTTAGGGACCCCTGGGGCGCCTGGCTGGCACAGTCCGTTAAGCGTCCGACTCTTGGTTTCAGCTCAGGTCGTGATCTCAGGATAGTGAGATCTCAGGATCGAGCCCCATGTCAGGCTCTGTGCTCAGTGCAGCATCTGCTTGAGATTCTCTCTCCCTCTCCTTCTGCACGCCCCCACCACTCGTGCTCTCTCTCTCGGTGTCTCAAATAAATAAATAAATCTTAAAAAAAAAAAAAAGTCAAGTATTCCTGTATTCCTTCATTCAACAAACATAGCAAACACCTACTGTGTGCTAGGCCCCATGACCACAGGAATCTAGGAGGGTCAGGTCAGAGTTAATTCAGCAAATTTGGTGAGTTGGTGTTTATTAAGTAGGACTTCTACTTCCTCCCAAGCTGATATAACAGGGACCAGATTCTCCTCCCCTCTGAATCAACCAAAATAAAGCAGACAAACTATAGTATAGGAAACAACAGTTTTCCAGATATTGGTCCTCATGCAATGAACGACAGCAATCCCTGAGAGACAGGGCGCATAGTGAGGTGAGACCTTTGATTGGTTGCCACGTTTCCTAGTCTTGAGAGAAGACACGGCACAGAGAGGGCGAACCCAGGCAGGGCCCTGGCACATTGCATATGAAGTGAGATGGAGCTGAGTCTGGGGACAGCAAGGCAGGGGGTGTCCTGGGACAGAGAAACCAAGAGACCTAAACAGGGAAAGACCCTAGAGATCTGCAGAGAGGCCTCTCAAGTATTTAGAAGACTGATCAGTACAGGGATGTGAAGAAACTACCCACCCCAGTCTGGGGAAGAAACCATCCAAACAGATTAAGGAAATATGCCCATTGCTCACAGGGGTCCAGGAATAGTGCCTGTTGCCACCAGTCAGACTAGGAAAAACCCCTAATTCACAGGACATTGGGTAGAAGACTCTGGAAGGTCTTACCTCAATAGTGGGGAATAATAAGCCCTAGATAGAGCACTGGTCAGGACCCACCTAACAAATCATAAAAGCAAGACCCCAAAGGACCAAACTACTTACAAGCAGTTTAACTGCATCCCAAAACAACACTCAAGAATATTTATAGGAATACACAACTGGCCAGCCTAACAAAGTAAAATTCACAATGTTTGGCATTTAATCAAAGATTATCAGGTAGGCAAACAAGCAGGAAAACAAGATCCGTAATGAGAATACTCAATCAGTTGAAATTGACCCAGAAATGACCCAGATGTTGGAATCAGCAAACACGAACATTAAAAGAGTTCATTATAAGTGAATCTCATACATTCCAAAAGTTAAGTAGAGACATGGATATTAAAGAAAAAGACTTAAATCAAACTCCTAGAGATAAAAACTACAGCATCTGAAATGAAAAATACACTGGATGGAATTAGCAACAGATGCAGAAGAAAAGATTAGCAAACTTGAAGACTGTGCGATAGGAACTATTTAGATGAAACACAATGAGAATATTTTTCTTTATTTTTAAGTAATCTCTACACCCAGTGTGGGGCTTGAACTCACGACCCAGAGATCAAGAGTTGCAGGGTCCACTGACTAAGCCAGCCAGGCATCCCCAAAGAGAGTATTTTAAAATGAAAAGAACAGGGGCGCCTGGGTGGCTCAGTCCTCAAGCATCTGCCTTCAGTTCAGGTCATGATCCCAGGGTCCTGGGATCGAGCCCTGCATCAGGCTCCCTGCTCAGCGGGAAGCCTGCTTCTCCCTCTCCCACTCCCCCTGCTTATATTCCCTCTCTTGCTCTCTGTCAAATAAATACATAAAAAAATCTTTTAAAAAAAATGAAATGAAAAGAACATCAGAGAGCTATGGGACAACTTCAAGCAGCCTGATAATATTTGAAACTTAAGTCTCTAAACGAGGGATAGAAAAAATACTTGAAGAAATAATATCTGGAAATTTTTCCAAATCAGATGAAAACTATAAACTCACAGATCCAAGAAGTTCAATGACTTCCAGGAACAAGAAATGTTAAGAAAACCATGCCAAGGCCCAACATAAAAATCCTGTTCAAAACCAATGATAAAGACAAAAATCTCAGGGGCACCTGGGTGGCTCAGTCAGTTAAGTGTCTGACTCTTGGTTTCAGCTCAGGTCATGATCTCAGGATCATGAGATTGAGCCCCGAGTCAGGCTCCTCGCTCAGCATGGAGTCTGCTTGAGATTCTCTGCCCCTCCCCTGCACTTGCTCACTTGCTCTCTCTCTAAAATAAATAAGATCTTTTAAAAAATGGGGCGTCTGGGTGGCTCAGTCGTTAAGCATCTGCCTTCGGCTCAGGTCGTGATCCCAGGGTCCTGGGATCGAGCCCCACATTGGGCTCCCTGCTCAGTGGGAAGCCTCCTTCTCCCTCTCCCATTCTCCCTGCTTGTGTTCCCTCTCTCTCTGTGTCTCTCTCTGTCAAATAAATAAAATCTTTAAAAAAATAAAAATAACTAAAAATGTAAAAACCATTCATAGCTTACCGCCATACAAAAGCAGATGGCTGGCTAGATTTTGCCTGGAGACCACAGTTTGCCAACTATTTAAACAACAGAACAAAGAGTTAAAGCTAATAAAGCCAGGGACTCCTGGCTGGCTCAGTCGGTAGAGTGTGTGACTCTTGATCTCGGGGTTGTGAGTTCGAGCCCCATGTTGGGTGTAGAGATTACATAAAAACAATATCCTAAGGGGCGCCTGGGTGGCTCGGTCGGTTAAGTGTCTGACTCTTGATTTCAGCTCAGGTCATGATCTCAGGGTTGTGAGATCACACCCTGCATCAGACTCCACCCTCAGTGGGGAGTCTGCTTGAGATTCTCTCTCCCTCTCCCCCCTGCTAAAATAAATAAAATAAAAATAAATAAAACCTTAAATAAAGCTAATGAGCCAACAAAAGAATACAACGGGACAAAATTTACAGGTTCCAAAAGTAGGTAGAAAAGAAGAAAAGGTAAACAAAGAAGAGGTATTAAGTAGAAAATGAGCAATAAGATGATAAACTTAAGCATGACTCTATCAAGAATTAAATGTAAATGGTCTAAACATTTCAATTAAGAGGCAGAAATTGTCAGACTGAATAAAAAAGCAAAAACCAACTATATATGCTCCCTACAAGTAACACCCTTTAAATATAAGTATTAAAAGATAGCTTAAAAATAAAAGGGTGGGAAAAGATATACCATGCTAACACCAGTTAGTCAAAAGAAAGCAGCAGTGAGTATTTTAATATCAGACTAGACTTTAGAGCAAGGAATATTACCAGGTATAGAGAGGGTTACTTCATAATGATTAAGAGGTCAATTAAGCAAGAGAACATAATAATTCTAAACATTTGTGCCCCTAATAACAGAGCATAGGAGAAATAGACAAATCCACAATGACTGTTGGAGATTTCAATGCCCCCCCAAATAACTGATAGAAAAAGGAGACAGAAATCATCAGCAAGGATATATAAAACTATGGTAAAGCTATAAGCCAATAGGACCTCTAACTGACATTTAGAGAACACTACACCTAACAGCAGAATACCCATTCTTTTCAAGTGCACACATAATGTTCGGCACCATAACATAATTCTCAATAAATTTAAGAGGATTCAAGTCATACAAAGTGGGTTCTTGGTCTATGATGGAATTAAATTAAAAATCAATACAAGAAAGACATTTGGAAGACTTTCCAACTATCTGGAAACTAAATAACATATGTCTTTTTTTTTTAAATTTCTTTAGGGGCATCTGGGTGGCATTTGGTTGGGCAACCGACTCTTGGTTTCAGCTCAGGTCGTGATCTCAGCGTCATGGGAACAAGCCCTGCATGAGGCTCCACACAGAGCCTGCTTGGGTTTCTCTCTCCCTCTCCTCTGCCCCTACCCCCACCAAAATAAATAAATAAATCTTAAAATATATATATATATATTTATTCCTTTATTTTAGAGAGAGAGAGAGAGCACAAGCAGGAGGGGCAGAGGGAGAGGGAGAGAGAATCCCAAGCAGACTCCACACTGAGCATAGAGCCTAACGGGGGGCTCATCCCAGGACCCCGAGATCACAACCTGAGCAGAAACCAAGAGTCAGACGCTCAACTGACTACGCTGCCCAGTCACCCCTAAATAACATATTTCTAAATAATCCACTGGCCAAAGAAGAAATCAAAAGAGAAACTACAAAGTATCTTGAATTAAATGAACATGAAAACATAGCATATCAGAATTTGTGAGAGGCTGCTAAAGCACTACTATGGGAAATTTACAGCATGAAACATCTATACTAGAAAAGAAAGGTCTCAAAATGATCTCAGCTGCCACTTTAAGAAACTAAAAAAAAAAAGAACAAATTAAACCCAAAGTAAGCAGAAGAGGGCAATAATGAAAATCAGAACAGAGATCAATGAAATAAAAAGCAAAAAACCAATAAAGAAAATTAATGAAACCTAAGCGGGGGTCTTTGAAAAGATCAGTATTTCCCGAGTGCGTCTTATAGGTCAAGCACTGTTTAGTCACTGTGGATAGAACAGCAAACGCAATGCACAAAAAACCCCAGTGCAATCCCTCATGGGCCCTTACATCTCTTTTTCCTTCTACCCGGAGAGCCCTGCCCCAGATAATCTACTGGTCTCGTTTTGCTGCTTTATTTTTTCCCCAAAGAACTTACTCCCTTCAGACACACCATTTTTCTGCCTTTCTTGCATATTGTTTTTCATTTTTCTTTTTCTTCCTTTCCTTCTCTGCCCCTTTCTTTCGTTCCTTGTCTCTCTTTTTTTCCCTCCCTCCCTTCCTTCCTGTCAGTCTGTCCTTCTGCCTATATACCTACCCTAGAACGTAAACTCCACAAAGGTGTAAGTTTTTGTTTGTTTTCTTCACTGCTTTATCACAGCACCTAAAAAGGGCCTGGAAGGTGGTAGTGTTCGATAAATATTAAACCCCTATTAATCCCTGCTCGTGGAGCTTACATTTTCTCTTTGAATGTAAGATCTGAAGATCAGTGCTCAGAAGGTAGAATCTTAGAGTCAAGGCCAAGTATTGATTTTGGAAATATAAGTTCAAGGCGCATGAATCGGGAGCTAAGGATCAAAGATCATATTTGGAGGTAGGAGGTCAGGAGGGGCCTGTCTGAACCACAGCTCTAACAAGTCTCAGGACTAGGGTCAGTAAGAGTTTTGGGATCAATGGATAGGGATGTGGAGCTCTATGAACCACAGTTTAAGAAAGGAAGGTCAGAGAAATTAAGGGGTTAGGGTCAGAGTTGGATAGGAAATTGGTTTTACTAAAGGTTAGGACTTGGGGGTTAGAGATCAGAAAGTCGAGCATCAGAAATTAGATTTAGGAGTGAAAGGTTAGGAAGCCGGGGTCAGAGACTAATAGGGAATCAGACGTCGGATCCTAGGGCCGGGTCTGGCAGCCTAAGGTTCACTCACGTGTCCCCATCCTCAGTGACGTAGCCGAAGACGAGGGGCGCCCACGACAGCCCCGGGCCCAGCTCGGCGCCCAATCCCGGTCCTCCGGGGGCTGCTGCGTCCGGACCCAGAGAGCCCAGACCGCTGTCGCACCATTCGTCGGCCTCCGCAGCTTTCCCCAAACACGCGACCCCTGCCATGGCCCCCGAAGCCTCAGGGGCCCCAGCGGCCGCCCGCCTGTAGCTAGGCTCTGCCTGAAGCCCTGGCGCTTCCGCCCTGCGGGGAATTCCCCAACACTGCCCCTTGACTCATCCAGTCAGAGTGAGCCAAAGAGTACACGCCCCTCCCACTTACCAGACCATGACCAATCAGAGTATTCAGATGGACTGCGGCTCTCTACCCATTCCCACATTTTCCGGCCGCCCTTCACCAACATGGCTGCCTGCGCGGAGCACTCTGGGACTCGTAGTCCGGCCCTCGCGTGGCTTCCTAACATAAGAGCGGCGCGCGCCGGACGCTGTGCGAAAACTCGTATGCATCCTCGATACTGCTGGGAGTTGTAGTTCTTTGCCCTATCTCTGCCCCTCCTGTTTCCGGTGCCGTCACGGGACAGAGCCGTCGGTGACAGCCCCAAGGGCCCCCGCCCCGCGCCCATGGCCGAGCCGGACCGTGAGTCGGGGACCCCGGTGGGAGGGTCGGGCCGCGCCGGGGCCTGGCTGAGGGCTGCAGGCCCCGGGGCCCGAGGAGGGGCACGGTGGGGCTGGAGGTTGGGGCTGCATGGCGCGGAGTGGGATTCGGGGCGGGGGTGGAGGGTCGTTGCTAAGTGATCCATCTTGCTAGGTTGGTGGGTTTCTGGGTCGCGAGCTTTTAAGGGTCCGTTTGCCACGTCCCCCAAGTTCCTAATGATCGCGTGTTTCTCGCACCTTGGTTGCTGAGGACCCTCGTTGCTAAGGACTTAGGTTGCCGCGGACCCGGTTGCTAAGGGTACCTGGTTGTTAGGCGGAACTAGGATGCTAGGGGACCCCTAGCGCCCCTCTCCTATCTCTTCCCTCTAGTTCCTGTGCCCCTCCTAAACATGCCATCCCCACTGCACCTCCTCTCCTAAACCCGTCTCTACTCAGAGCATTTTCTTATCTCCTCTCTTCCTTTTTAAATTTCCCTCCGTTAGTAAACCTAACCCTCCCTGCACACACACGCGCGCGCACGCACACACACACGATTTTCTTCCTCACTTCTAAGTCTTCCCCCCTGCCCTGTATGCTTTGCTTTCTCCTCCCTCTCCTAAACCTTCCCGCCCCAGCCTCCTTGTCCCTCACTAACCACTTGTCCTGACAGCACTGTCTACTCTAATACGGTCTACTTTTCCCCATCCCCTCCCTTCCTCTACTCCACTTTTACCCCCACCTCCCACCCCAGTGTAATTAGCTTGGTGGGTCTTCTTGCTCCCTGCCCCTCTGCTTTGAAGCCCTTCATTCCCACTTAACCATGCCCCCCACTGTAACCACGTCTGCTCCCCCTCCTCCCCCAGCCTCTGACCCTCTGGAGACCCAGGCAGGGAAGGTGCAGGAGGCTCAGGTGAGATTTGGGGAAGGGTGGAGGGAAGGAGAGAGATGGACTTGTTCCCGCACCCCACACCGGGGGGAGGTGGCAAAGGGGACACAGTTACCCCAGGGCCCTCAGCTCACTGCCCCAGTCCCTTGCCCCAACTCCTGGTTCAGCCTCCTGGGGAATGGTGGATTCTGGGGACTGTCAGAGAAGGGTGTGCAGCCTCAACTCCAGGCCTGCCCTCCCAAACTTTTCTCTTTCCTTGCTCCCTCCCCCTATCCTTTCTGAACCTCATTTATGCTGGGCCTGGGAGAGACGGGCATCCGATTTGGTCCCTGAACACACAGATCTCAAGGACAGGTGACTAGAAATGACCCTCCAGGGTGATTATGAAAGTAGCTCAAGGCAGAGTAAACTCTGTGGGGTCACAGAGACTCCAGCCGGTCCGTTCCCTGGGCGAACCCACAGGCTGGCCCAGGAGTCAGATTGAGATGCAGACACCTCACAGTAAGTGAAGAGTGACTTAGGATTTTCTTAGGCAGGGTGAGAAATGGCGTTCCATGCAGAGTGCACAGCTTGTGCAAAAACTGGGAGGCATGAAGGGTATGATGTGGTCACTAGCCTGGTGGCTGGGGGTGGTTAGCTAATTATAGCCGAGGTTAGCATTTATTGAGTACTTTATTCCAGCTGGGTACTCCGCTCAGTGCTTTATGTACATCATTTCATTTCATCTTCCCAGAATCCCTTGGGGGGGGCAAGGCCTACTGGGGCCATTTTACAGATGAGGAATCTGAGGCAGAGCTGTTACATAATTTGTCCTCAGGCCCCCCTGCTAGAAGAGCAGGGACCACTTTGCAACCCACGGCACCCTGCAGGTTGCCTTCCAGAAACTTCAGGAAGAGGTAGCCAGGCCGCCTCACAGAGACTTGAAGGCCCCACCAGCACCTCCAGCTCCCCCTTAGGCCAAGTTGCTCCCACATGCTGGGCAGGGCCCTCGAGTCCTCCCACAGAGCCTCACTGTCTGCAGCCTGAAAGACTGCCAACCCCCCCAGAGACGCGAGATCACCATTCAGATGTAGGGCAGCGCAGAAGCTGAGATGAAAGCACCTGACAGATGCACAGCAGGGCCACACTGAGGGGCTGAAAGCTTCCTGTCAGGCCAGGGCTTCTCCCTCGCCTGGCTCCCGGGGCTCAGCCACTGTCACAGAGAAAGGTTTAATGTTAAAAAGGGATCCTCAGTCCCAGAAAGAGATTCAAGGATGTAAACTGCAGCATTGTCTGTAATAGGGCGACACTGGAAACAGCCCAAGTGGCTGTCAGTAGGCGGGTTAAATGAACTATGGCTCATCCTTACAATGCAACACTATGTAGCTTTTTTAAAGGACGAGGTGGATCTATAGTATATTGTTCTGCGGAAGACGGAAGACGTTGTACTATGGCATGACCCATTTCTGGAAAACGAATAAGTTTTATGTGCAGAGAAAAAAATCTAGAGTCATTACCACCGTACTGTGAAGGGCAGTCATCGTGACCAGGGCAGGTGAGGGAACTGGAGGCAAGTGCCTCAAGTCACACATGGTCTAATGGTCAAAGTTTTTGCAAAGCTTATGGAAAAGCAATTAAAAAATTTAAATGTGTTTGGAAGGGCAGTTCCTATTCAAAAAGGCTTGAAACCAGAGCAGAGAATGTTGGGGGAGTCTGTCATTGGAGGGGTTTTAGGCAGGAGAGTGCGTTAGTCAGAATTGTGTTTCTGTGAGGTCTGTTGCAGGACCCAGCCCTGGTGTAGCACACAGCAAGCATCCATTCGTTCAGTGGTGGTTAGTTCTGGAGCTCCTGTCAGGGGCCAGACCCTGTTCTTGGTGCTGGGCGTCCACGGGTAAATACGAAAAATCCCCACCATCTTGGAACTGACATCATGGCAGACTCCATACCTGTTGGTGATCGGATGGTTAGACTGAAGAAGCCAGCAAGAGGGGCTCTTGGAGCGGAGGGCAGGATGGGCTGACACAGCCAGGCCATCACCCAGAGGGCAGTAGAGTCCATCAGAGGTGGAGGCTGAGGCTGGGAGCTTAGGGAGGAGTTCAGGACAGGGCCCCCAGAGGGAGGAAGGCTGGACCAGGTAGAGCCCTGGGGAGGGGACACATTATGATGGGAGGGTAGGAGAGGGAGACAAAGACTGGGGGACAGAAGCCACACTGAGATGGGGCCTAGGAGGAGGGGCAGGTTTAGGAGAGATGCTAAAGCCCAGTTTGAGATGTGGTGGGAAAGGGAGGCCAGGAGTCACTTAGGAGGAGGCACCCAGGAGGCTGCGGGAACCCCAGATCTGGGGACTGGGAGGTGGCATTATCAATGGCTAGGCCAAGACCATTGGCACAGATGAGGGAGCAAGCCCAGGAATGGTGGAGAGAGGAAGTAGAGAGGGCCCAGGACAGAGTCTCGAACCTGCCATCTGGGAGCCTGGCTGAGCAGCGGAGTAGATAATGATGCTAGATAATGACTCAGAGGGGTTGGAAAGGTGGAGTCCGGGGCTTCAGGCAGGAGCGCTGAGGGCCCCAGGGTGAGGACAGAGGCGTTTCCACTGGCATCATTCACGGGAGTGACTGTGGTGAGGAGGGCAGCAGGCCCACACCACAGGGGACGGGAGGGGCTGCAAGGCAAGGACACGGGACACCGGGCAATGTCAGCACTTCCCGAGCACTTACCCCACTGGGTGCTGCGCGGAGCACCTCCCCTAGGTTAACGCGTGTCATCTCAGATAGCCCTCTGATGCAGTGCCACCTCCTCTGAGCTCCGTTTCCAAGATGAGGAGCATCAGACTCAGAACAGCAAAGAACTTACGCTCCTCAGGAGCTGCAGGACCAGGTTTCTAACCCATGCAGCCCATCCCAGAGCCCAAGCACACTGGCCCCCGGACCACCCCTCTCTTCCTTGGGCCCACCCCCAGCCAGAGCCTTTCCCCCCAGACCCGGGTGCCACCCTCCCCTCTCCTCCCTGCCTAACCCCACTTCTGGGGCCTGGTCACCCCACCCCCACCCCTCCCAGGACTCAGATTCAGACACTGAGGAAGGAGCTGCAGGCGGAGAAGCCGAGAGTGAGTATCTTCCTTGGGAGTGGGGTTCTGGAGGAGCAGTTTAGGGCAGGGATGTAGTTGCTACCCCTCACCCCCACTGAGGGTGACAGTCAGGGTATGTATATTGGGTGCAATGCAACCTAGAGGTCCCCGGTGGTGGGAGGGTGGGGGATCCCAGGGCTGGCTGGGGCAGGGGCACTCGGGGCCCCAGTGCACCCCAACTGAACGCCCACCCTGCTGTTCTCGCTCTGCTTTTTGGCCAGTGGACTTCCTGCGGAATTTCTTCTCCCAGACACTGGGCCTGGGCACCCAGAAGGAGCGTCTGCTGGACGACCTGACCCTGGAAGGGGTGACCCGCTACATGCAGAGCGAGCGCTGTGAGTCCCCGCCCTGCCTTGCGCCACTTGCCCGGCTCCTGGCCCCAAGTGACTTCTCAGCCGCCGCCACTTGAACCATCACACCTTTTGCTTCCAAGTAACAAGAAACCCAGGTGCACCCGGCTTAGGCCAAAAAAGGGAGTATTGACCCTGTAACTAAAATCCAGCATTAAGCGTGGCTGGATTCGGAGGCTTCCGTGTTGTCAAGAATCTTAACCCCCTCTGGCGCAGCTTTTCTGTGTTGAGGTGGAAGGGACTCCTGGCAGGACCGAGTGTCAGTTCCACCAGCCTAGTATCTCCTTCCAGGGGTTCAAGCGAAAGGGCAGAGATTGGCCCCAGTTGGGCCAGGTTGGGTCACCCTCCTACCGCAAACCAATCACCGTGTCTCTGATTGGCCAGGCGTGGGTCACACCTCCATTGCTGATTGGCCAGACCTGTTTGACAGACTGAAGGGGATACCAATAGTAATTACCCCATAGGGTCCGGAGGGGTGCAACACCTGAGTAGAGACGTAAATGCCCGGAAAGGGGCCTGGAAGAGCCGCGTGCCCTGTGACTATTACAGGAAGCGCGTTTCGGGGTGCTATGTAGGTGCCTGTCTACCAGGTCACCATGTCATTTCTGTTTCTTGCTGCAAGTTGAGGTCACCAGAGTCTGAGACACCGGGCCCTCGGCAGTCCTCAACGAGAACAATCGACCCTTTGAGGGCCCTGAACAGCCTTTTGTTGAGAACGTCTTCTCCCGTTTCCCTGTCCTCCAGCTGCTGCCAGCTCCCTGCTCAGGCGTCAGGCTTGCTGCCCTGAGCCTCCCTCTCCCGAGCCAGGCCGGGCAGCTGTCTGCAGACATCTCCTCCCCAAAGACAGCACAGGCAATGGCCGCAAAACTCTGGTTGCTTCCGTCCTCCTGCACTTGGGTTTTGGGACGGACAGTTGGCTCATGAGGCTGCCTATGAGGGGCACAGCGAAGAACCACAGTTAACTGAGCCCTCCCCATTTGCCAGGCACTGGGCTAGGCACTTGATAGGTGTGATCTGGACAGAGGAGGAAGCGGAGGCACAGAGAGGTTGTGACTCCATGCAGGGTCACACATCTGGCAAGAGGCAGTCAGGACTCCTGAATCCAGGGCACATGCTCCCTCCCACGGGGCCCCAGCTGGGTCCAGCTGGGCCGGGTCCGATGGCATCCCCGAGACAAAGCTGAGGGCTTCGTGACCCTTGCTGTCCTCCTTCGCACAGGATAGCCCAGAAGTCCCCAGTTCGCAGGCCTCACACTTGTGCCTGACCATCAGCTGACGGGCAGATGCCTGGGGCCTGCGTGGCAGGGCTGCCCGCCAGCAGCTGACAAGGCAGCAGGGCTATTTCTGCACAGCCCCGTGTGTTTGTGAAATGATTCGACTCCTACCACACCCTCCCATCCTCTTTTCTGAAAGCCAGGAGAAAACGGGGGAATGAAGTGCTTAGACGCGTACAAATCCTGGGTCTCAAGAAGTACAACTGACTCAATAATAGCAGACACATAAATAGTGTGTGCTCAGTGCCAGGCACTGATCTGAGCTTTACACGAATGACTTCATTCTCTTGACAGCCCCCTGAAGTCAGGACTATAATTGTGCCCATTTTACAGAGCAGGAAGCTGAAGCCCAGGGGGGAGATCTGAACTAAGACCCCCTCCCCCACCCCGCTGGTGAGCAGGAGAGCCAGGATCTGAAGCCCTCTTACCTACCTGGTGTTCACTGGGTGAGGGCCAAGAGGGGCAAATCTTTGGTCTTCCTCTGAAAATGATCAGACTCCGGTGGCTGATGTGTGTTTGATTATAGAGGAAAGGAATATGCTGAAGGAACTTGCTAGAAATAGATGGTCATTCAAGATTGTGTCCAAAAGGTGCGGCATAGCCAGAGATTTCTACAATAACCTGTAGCTCTTCTGGGGGGCACCCCCCTGCTGCCCCCAGCCTTCTCTCTAAGAGCGCATACGTTTTTGTCTAGATCTAGTTAGGAGGGGAAACTTCTCTCCAAGTGGCCGTTTCTCGAATCTGTCCAATTTGGTATAATTTGAAATAGTAAATTCCTTGTCCCCACGCTGACTCTGCCACCAGTTGACTGCATGATCCTTCCTCTGTCTGAGCCTTGGTTTTCTCATCTGTAAAGTGGGGGTGTTAACACACACACCCCCCCGAGATGGGAAGACCATTCATGCATCTGAAATGCCCGCCGTGGGGCCTGGCACTGCGAATGGCGTCAGGGGCTGTGATGGGTGCTGTTATTTTGGGGCTGAGCACACTGTCATATGATGAAGAAACTCCTCTCCTCCAGGTCGCAGGGTCATCTGTTTGGTGGGAGCTGGGATCTCCACATGTAAGTGCGTCCCCTCCCCCCAGTAGCCACCGCCATGTTGGGGGACCCCCATCCAGGGACTGGGGGAAGCCGTGTCTGAGCCCTTGATTGGGGGGGATTGATGGAATATAGATGGGGCCGAGGTCCCTGACCCATTGCTCCCCACCCCACCTCCCCCAGCCGCCGGCATCCCTGACTTCCGCTCCCCATCCACGGGCCTCTACGCCAACCTAGAGAAGTACAATCTTCCCTACCCAGAGGCCATCTTTGAGATTGGCTACTTCAAGGTAATGGTGAGGAGGGCGCGGGGATCGCCTGACCCCAGCTCTCAGCTCACCACGGGCATCTGGGTGCCCACCAGCCCTCTGGTTCTCTCTCCCACAGAAACACCCAGAGCCCTTCTTTGCTCTTGCCAAGGAACTCTATCCTGGGCAGTTCAAGGTGAGCTCTTTTTTGCTGGGGGGCGCACAGGAAAGCCTGGGGGACAGCAGGCATGGGAAAGGCTTCCTTTGGGGCCCTTCAGACAAGTGTCACGTGGTCATGAAGTTCCTGGGCTCCGGGCCACCTGGGTCCACCTCCTGGTCCCTCATTTCCTGCTCTTGTGACCTTGAGCCTCCATTTTTCCATCTGAGAAATGGGGCTTGTGATGATTCCATGAGGTAAACCAGCCAGAGCGCCTGGAACACTTCCCAGCCGGTGGCGACGCGTGGCCCCTGGGCTCTGTCACGACCGGTGTGGTTCCGCTTGCTCCCCTCCAGCCGACCGTCTGTCACTACTTCATCCGCCTGCTGAAGGAGAAGGACCTACTGCTGCGCTGCTACACGCAGGTAGGCGGCCGTGGGCACCGCCCCCCCGGCCTCAGTTTCCCCTTCTGTAAAGCAGAGGCCAGAACAGCCTCACCCTTCAGGTGTGTGGTGACGTGGCAGGGAGCTCCGCTCAGCGCCATCCCGAGCGTGGGGGCAAGGGACGTCACGTGTGAGGGGCCACCGTTTGCAGCGGAGATTTCCTGTTCCGTTAGGGTTGTCAGCACGTGGCCACCGTGTGACTGGAGCTGACAAAGTCAGCACACCGTGACCGCTTTCCAACTGGCAGGTGGGGAGTCGTAAGGAAGGGGCGTCTTTTTAGAATTTGCACAAAGGCCTCGCGTGTAACACGGGCCATGGCTCAGACGTGTCGGGTGCTGCGCCATGGGCCTTGCCCCGGAGCTCGCCGGCAAGGACAGCTCACGTTGTGGGCTTCTGGACTAGCCAGCAAGACGTTTGGGGCATCCCGCACCCCTCACTGTAAAAACTGTTGGCGCCCCTACCTTTGATTTAGGAATGTGTGTTTTATGAACGCGTGTGAATACGTATTGAAATTACGCAGTGTCAGTTAACAGCGATATCGTGCTATAAATGATCCCTCAGGCGCTCCTGGGGGCTCAGTCGGTTGAGTGCCCCACTCTTGATTTCGGCTCAGGTCATGGTCTCGGGGTCGTGAGATCGAGCCCCATGTCAGGCTCCTCACTCAGACTCAAGTCTGTTTGAGACTCTTTCTCTCCCTCTGCCTCTGCCCTTCCCCTCCCTGTGTGCTCGCTCACTCTCTCTCTCTCTCTCCTTCTAAAATAAATAAATAGGGCGCCTGGGTGGCTCAGTCGGTTAAGCGACTGCCTTCGGCTCAGGTCATGATCCTGGAGTCCCGGGATCGAGCCCCGCATCGGGCTCCCTGCTCGGCAGGGAGTCTGCTTCTCCCTCTCCCACTCCCCTGCTTGTGTTCCCTCTCTTGCTGTGTCTTTCTCTGTCAAATAAATAAATAAAATCTTTAAAAAATAATAATAATAATAAATAAATAAATAAATAAATAAATAAATCTTAAAAAAAAGAGAGAGAGACCTCAGAACGCAAAATTATAAAAGAGAGAATACTTGAAGATAAACGGGCGTTCTAACATTTTCTTCCTGCGCCTGGCGATTTGGAGCCTGCCGGCCTGGGAAGCTGCCACCAGGGGGAGGATGAATTTCTTTTAAGTCCAGATGTCTCAAACGGGGGCCAGAGCCCGCTGCCTAGGACTGGCGGTGGTGGCCTGAGAAAGGACAGCCTCCTCCTCCTGGGACGAGCCCCCGCTCAGGATAAACTGGACCTTTCTTCCCAGAGTCCATTTTATCCACGGGATGTGGCTCAGACATGACACACACAGCTCACTCCAAGCCAAGGGCTCCCTCGTGCGTGATTTCATGAAATCCGCACCATGGCCCCATGTCATCATCTTCTGTCACAAGTGCTTATTGAGTGCCGAGCCCACATCAGGCCCTGCTGGCGGCGACATCCCTGCCCCCCTAGAGCTGACAGTCTGCTGTGGGGAGAGGGACAGTGGACAGGACGGGTAGGAAGCACAGCTAGGGTGTCATGAGGTTTGTGGAGCACAATTAAGCCGGAAAGGGAATTAGAAGTGTTGGGGCGGCGGAGGCGGGGGGGGGGATGCTGTTGTCAACCGGTATCAGGGAAGGCCTCACTGAGAAGCGTGCATTTAGACAAAGGCCTCTAGGAGGGGACGGAGGGAGCCACGGGATCATCTAGGGGGAGAGTAGGTTCCAGGCAAAGGGAACAGCCAGGGCAAAGGTCCTGAGGTGAGACTGTATTTGGCACGTTCGAGAAGCTGCATCCGAGTGAGCAGAGAGAACAGCAGGAGAGAACGGAGGAGGCGAGCTCAGGGATGGGACGGGGACTGACCATGTGGGATCTTGGGGCCACAGCAAGGGCTGAGTGAGAGGGAGCCACGGGAGGGCTCTGAGCAGGGTGGGATGTGACCTGACCCAGGGGTCCCTCTGACTGCATGTTGGGGACGACTCGGGGGTGCAGAGACCAAGGAGGAGGCTGCCGTGACGGTCGGAGCAGAGGAGGATGGAGGCTGGCCCAGGGCGGGGGCCGCTGAGGGGAGAAGCGTGCGGGTTCCGAATCTGCTTGGAAGGTAGAGCGGGCAGGGCCGCTTCTCTGTGAAAGCCAGCAGCAGTCCATGCTGGGGCCCGTGGGAAAGGTGCAGTCGTGTGTCCCCGACTGGCAACAGGGAATGCATGGCTTTAACTGCACATACCTCAGCAAAACAGCCGATTACAGAAAACAGACAAACGTGGAAAAAAAAAAAAAAAGTTCCACTCTCGTGTTTCAGGAGACCGCTTTGTTTTGTTTTCTTCAAACTTGTCACCCTCTCCGTCAACCTCAGCCACTTTTTGAGTCACTGACCCAGTTTTCTGGAACACACTGTCTTCGCCCCTTTCCGGATTGTGATGATGTTGCACTTCTGGAGCTACGTATGATCGCTATTTTTATCTCCAGATATAAGTCTCCATTCAAACATGAGAACAGTTGCCCTGTTCACGCAAGCCCCTGCGATCTCCGCAGCAAAGTAGCTTTTAAATATATTCATGGCATTTACCCTACACGTAAGGCTTGTACTTGGCTTTCTCTCACTTAACTTCCTGTGTGGAAGACCCTTCCGTATCCTCACCCACATAGCAGCTTCCTGCCCTTCCTTCCTTCCTTCCTTCCTTTAAGATTTTATTTTTAAGTAATCTCTCCATCCAACGTGTGGGACTCAAACTCCCAGCCTCGAGCTCAAGCTCTGCTCTACCAGGTGAACCAGCCAGGCACCCCCAACTTCCTGCTTTTTCAAAACCGCTGTTGCCTTTGTGTCCATCAGGGGGACACAGTGTTCCGAAACAAAAAAGGAGCCAAGGTTTCAAAAGCAAGAGAGTTCAGTTGAAAATCCGGACTTCAGGCTCCTCCTGCAGATTGAGAAGAGCTGGCTGCCCCCGGGGGAGCACAGGGCTGGAGCTGGGAGGCCACTGCCCATCCTCACCGTGCCCTGCTCGCCACCACACTCCCCACATACCATCATGCGTTCATCACCACCTGGCCTTTGGGAGAGGGCGTCCTGGGGCCGTCCTCCCCAGCCCTCAGCTTCCCTCCCTAGGGGCCACTGCTGTTGTTGGCTTCTCCTATCACCATTATTTTTTTTTTTAAGATTTTATTTATTTATTAGACAGAGAGCACACAAGCAGGGGAAGCGGCAGAGAGAGAGGGAGAGGCAGGGTCCCCCCAGAGCAGGGAGCCCGATGAGGGGCTCGATCCCAGGACCCTGGGATCATGACCTGAGCCGAAGGCAGACGCTTAACCGATGAGCCACTCAGGCGTCCCTTGTATCACCTTTAAAAACATTCTATACACAGGCAAACAAATACACACCTTCATATATAGTTTTCCCACAGCCTTTGTTCTCCTGTGCCTTTTAACCTCTTGGAGCGATCATTTCCATATCGGGACATACAGGACAGCCTCATTCATTTCTCGTTGGTGGTTCCTCTATCAGAAGTGGCCTCAGAACAACAGAGGCAGCTCAGTAGTTTTTTTTACATGCTGTTTAATTATTTGCACGCACACTGCTTGCTTCCTCACGTGTGAGGGGGGCTGTAGACTGAGTCAAGTAACAAAGGCAAAGCTAATGCGGGGGGAGGGGAAAAGCTGCAGAGAGAGTCTGGGAACAGTGGCTCTTGTCTGCACGTTTGGGGAACAAGCTGATTGCTGGCAGGGAGCGAAGAGAGCGGATGGGGCCATCTGCCCTTGAAAGAGAACCCTTTCGGTTGTGCATGGAGTCTCAGGGAGGCCGGGCCAGGTCAGCTGTGGGCTGCACATGACCGGCCCGCCTTGGGGTGGCATCTGCCCGCGTGCTGGGGGCTCTGTCAGCACCTGCCTCCGCAGCATTCCTCACGGGCAAACAAAAGCTGCTCCCAGGGGGGCTGCATGCTTTAAGAAAAATGAGAGAGCACATATGTCTATGTGGAAGGGAAGAATAGTCTTGCTGGTTTAATGAGGAATATATTCGTGTCTTAAAAGAATACCAGTTAATGTGCCGTCTGTGAAACAGACCACAGTAAGAAACCCGACTGCTGATTAGGAAAACAGTGATTAAAACCAAATAAACCCTCCTGATTCACTTATTTCTGTTACTGCTCAGCCAGGGCTGCCACAGACAGCTGTGCAGGTTGGGTACTGCACAAGGATGCCACATCTGAGGGCGCTCTATTTCCAACAGAGCCACTGTAGGCTTGTCCATCAATGCCAACAAATTTCTGGCAGGTGCCATGAACGTCGTGTGGTCCCAACAAAAAACAAATTTCCTGAAAAATGGAAACAAAGTGGCCTGACTATGCAGAAACACTCCATCTGGGCTGAAGGTGGCAGTGGGTCTGGGCTCACAGACGTATGAGTTTGGGCTCCACCTTTAACCATCTGTGACTTTCACCCTTCGGTGACCCCCTGACAATGAGCAGACGAGTTTACAGAGCACATCCTGCCCCTTGCTTCTCCCTCCCTTCCTTCTCCCTCTCTCCCATTTGCTTCTCTTCACAGTGCCATGCTCTGCCTTCTGCCGCCGGTGGGGGGGGAGGGGGTGTCTCACTCCTGAGCCTCCTCCCTCCGTCTCTCCCTCCAGAACATAGACACGCTAGAGCGAGTGGCGGGGCTGGAGCCTGAGGACCTGGTGGAGGCCCATGGCACCTTCTACACCTCGCACTGCATCAGCCCCCTCTGCCGACGGGAGTACTCGCTCAGCTGGATGAAAGGTGAGGCACTGGACGTCATCCTCGAGGGCAGGCCTCCTGCCCTCTGTCTGCTCCTTGGGGGCTCCAGGCGGTGGGCACCCGTTCCGTCCTGCTCCGTGGCTCCTTTCAGCAGCTGACGGCAGCCCCCGGAGATGAGGCGGCCTCGGGCTTTCGTTGCTCCCAACGCCACCTCACAGCCGGGTCATGATGGAAGCGAGCTCCACGCCCAGTGCAGCCACGCAGAGACATGTGTTGGCCTAGAAGCTACCAGATGGGCACACGGTCTGTTCTGTGCGGTCACGAGGCCCCCAGCTCTCTGTCACACGAGGGCTCTGACTTTACCTTACACGAGGGTCCTGTGAGGGCAAACGCAACGACATTCGAATCCAGATTGGCGCTGTCCCAGATGGGGGCCACCGCCGCGTGTGGCTCTCGGCCACTCACAGATGTGACCAACGGTACCAAGGATCTGAATTTGGAATTTTACATAGTTTTAGTAATTTCAGTGTTAAAAGCCACACGGTGGCTGTGACCGCCATATTGGACGGGACCGAGCTAGTGGCACAGGGTCCGATGGCCCGTGAGTCACACTCCACGGAATGTGAACCTGGACACGGGCCTGGCTAGGGACGAGGGCTGGCGGCTGTCCCTAGGGGTGCAGACAACAGGGCTTGTTGAAGTCAGCGTCCCAGTTCATGGAAGGGCAGAGTGTCCAGAACAGGGGGGAAAAAAAGTCAGCCAGTCCACATTTCTCGAATGCCAGTGAGAATCTTGTCTGACATCCATTGTGCTGCCCAGAAGCCCCGCATTTCACCCCTGGCAAGCCACTGCTCACATTCTTTATGCTGACTTCACAAAGCCTCTGGTGTCCGTGTGAGACAGGGACAGCTGTGGCATTTGCGGTGGGGCCCCTGGAGGGTGGCCTTTCTGCCTAGACGCCGGCTGACAGCCGCTGGGGCGAGGCTTCCAGAACAGCTCGAGGGTGCACAGCTGCGGGGAATGGACAACGAACACCACCCCCTTACGTGCCCCTGACAGCAGTAGCGCGTGCAGCCCCCACAAAATCCTAAACACTGTCAGTGCCGAAATGTTTCCAGTTACATTACAGACATCACAACGGGGCTCTGTAAATGTTTGTTGGAGGAATGAATGAAGAGCTGAACAAACAAGCTAGGATTCTGTGGGGTTGGTTGCAAGTGACAGAATGCTTTTCAAGCTTCCTTAATCAATAAGCGATAAGGAGCATGATTATCATAAGGCTGGTGTGTGTGTGTGGAGGGGGGGAGGTGTCTGTCCCAGAACCCAAGGATGGGAAGCAGCTGGGCCTAAGGATGTATCCCCATCCCAGGATCGTCTGCAGATTCTTCCCTCTCTCTGTCACCAGGCCTGGGACTCACCAGGCCTATCACCCAGGATAAAATAGAGCTGCCCTCCAAGACCCACTAGGAGAGCTTTTTTTTTTTTTTTAATTAATTAATTTATTTATTTATTTGACAGAGACACAGGGAGAGAGGGAACACAAGCAGGGGGAGTGGGAGAGGGAGAAGCAGGCCTCCTGCCAAACAGGGAGCCCAGTGTGGGGTTCGATCCCAGGACCCTGGGATCATGACCCGAGCTGAAGGCAGACGCTTAACGACTGAGCCACCCAGGTGCCCCTCCACTAGGAGAGCTTTATTGCCCAGGTCAGGGGTTGGTGGGATCCAGTTACCCCTGTAAAGGGCAAACATCTGCTCATCGTCTGTTCTGGTGTTTTTTCTTTAAGTCCATAGCTGTAGCCTGGTGCTCGGAGCCCCCCTGGAATCCTGGAGGGTGGGAGGAGGTGGGGGGGGACAGCTCTCTGAGAAGGGTGAGCAGGGCAAACACCCCAGGAGGCTCCCCAGTGACTGAGGTGTGTTTGTGGACAATGAAGGCTGACTGCAGCCCCAGACCCCAGCCCAGAGTCGCTTACCTCCTTCTCTCCCTTCCCCTTCTCCACGCCCAGAGAAGATCTTCTCCGAGGTGACTCCCAAGTGTGAGAAATGTCACAGCGTGGTGAAGCCTGGTGAGCCTCGGGGCCAGGGACCAACCCAGATAGATTTGGGCTGGGACCCCCACCCCTCCACGAGCCCCTTCCCAAGAAGGCCACACGCCCATCCACCCCACCTCGGGCCACCCTCCCTCCCTGACCAGTGCCCCAGATCTGTCCCCACTGCTCCACAGCTCCTACCCCAGCCCTTGGGTCTGCCTTCTGCTCCTGCCCGCTCTCTCTCTCTCTCTCTCTGTGACCCTGACTCTGCCTCCCATTTCACCTTTCTCTTCCTGTCTCTGTGTCTGTCTGTCCTTCTGCCTCAGACATCGTGTTCTTCGGTGAGAACCTCCCAGCGAGGTTCTTCTCCTGCATGCAGTCAGTAAGTGGCCTGTGCTCCCCGACGTGGGGGCAGCCAGGGCCAGGCCCTGGGGCAGGTGGCTTCCCCAACTAGCTGCAGATGGGGGGTGGGGGAGGCAGCCCAGCCCCTGCCGAGCCTCCAGAGCTCTCACTGGCCGCCCTCCCTTCATAGGACTTCCTGAAGGTGGATCTCCTCATCATCATGGGTACCTCCCTGCAGGTGCAGCCCTTTGCATCCCTCATCAGCAAGTAGGTTGGGGGTTGGGACTGGGGGGGGGCGCTGCTGGGGACTGGGGGAGCCAGGACAGGTCCTCACCACTGAGCTCGCCATCCCCCAGGGCACCCCTCTCTACCCCACGCCTGCTCATCAACAAGGAGAAGACTGGGCAGGTGAGTTGGCTTTTATTTGAGGTCCCCTCTGATTTTCCCTCCTCCTCCTCCTCACATGGGTCCCACATTCCCTTTCACTGGCTTCCTGGGAAACTGGGACCCCCAGCTCAGAACCAGGAGTTCTAGAATCCAAAGAGGTCAGATTCCAGGTCACCTGGACTCTGATTCTACAGGCCTCTGGGTCACTCGGGACCCTTCTGAGCAAGGGATAGAACCCCAACTCGAAGCGACTGAAGCCAGGACAGGAATGCTTAGCTTTGTGCAAGTGAAGAGTCGGGGCAAGCCGGACCCAGGGCCCACAGCCCAGCACTGGGACACGCCCACTCCCACTTTCGGCTCTTTTCCGGAGGTGGCCTCGCTCCCTCATCCCTGAGCAGGGATGGTTCCTCGAACAGGCCAAACATGCCATGTGCCAGGCGCTGTTCTAAGCACTTTCTTTTTTTTTTTTTAATTTGTTTTATTTTATTTTGTATTTTTTTAATTTTCAGTAGGCTCCACGCCCAACATGGGGCTTGAACTCATGACCCTGAGATCAAGAGTCGCATGCTCCACCTACTGAGCCGGCCAGGCGCCCCCTGTGCACTTTCTAAGTATTCACCCACTGACAGTACAATGCTAGGAGCGGTTTGGTGATAGCCCCCACTCTACAGATAAGGGAACTGAGGTTCAGGGAGGCCAGGTCACTTGAGCGAAGTCACAGAGCAGGGAACACACCCCAGCCCATCGGGCTCCAGGGTCTGTGTTCTGAGCTTCCCCCTCCCGCACAGACTGACCCTTTCCTGGGGATGATGATGGGCCTCGGAGGAGGCATGGACTTCGACTCCAAGAAGGCCTACAGGTCAGTCCTGGGCCTGCGAGGGTCACAGCCGAGGTGGGAGGGAGGGCGGGAAGGCACTCGGACTGAGCAGAGCAGGAAGGGGCCTGGGACAAGCCTGGGAGCTCTGACTCTCCCACCCACAGGGACGTGGCCTGGCTGGGTGACTGTGACCAGGGCTGCCTGGCCCTTGCCGACCTCCTCGGATGGAAGGTAAGAAGTCTGGGCCACCTCGGCCCACCCTGAGCCCTGTCCCTAGACCCCTGCCCCACAGGTCCTCTGACCCCATGATGCATGGTGACCTCTGACCTCTGTGAACTTTGCCCCCTGCAGAAGGAGCTAGAGGACCTCGTCCGGAAGGAGCATGCCAGCATTGATGCCCAGGCAGGGTCGGGGAGCCCCAACCCCAACACTTCGGCTTCCCCCGGGAAGTCTCCACCTCCTGCCAAGGAGGAGGCCAGGACCATGGAGGGGGAGCAGGGCCAGTGACAGCTGCACCTCCCGGGCCAGCAGAGCCGCCACCAGCCCTGGCCCCCTCTAACTTGCAGCTCTTGTCTGGGGAGCTCAGAATGTTGCCCTAGTCTCTTAACCACCCCCTTTCAAAACTGGGGTCCCAGCCCCCTGACTCTGGCAAATCTCTAACAGCACCCAGGGGCCGAGGCCTGGGCAGCTCAGCTGTAACAGCCCATAGTCTCTAACCACCCGCGGGGATGTGGGTCAACCTCCCCTAATCTCTAACTGCTCCCAGGGCCAGGGCTGCCTCTAAACTCCTAACTGTTCTGGACAGGGGCCCCAGGGCTCCCCAGGGCTCCCCATGCCCTCTACCGCTCCTAGGGACCTGTGGCCAAGTCGGCCAAGTCTAACGTACCCTGGGTGGAGTGTGGGCCCTCCAGACATAACACCCTCTGGGGGGAGCTGAGCCTGAAGGCCTCCCCAGTCTGTGTCTCCCACTCCCAAAGTGGGTGCTGGACCCCTTCCCTTTGGGACCCACTTCCCCTGCCGGGAGGGGCAGATAATGTTGCTTATTGGAGACAAATTAAAAACAAAAACAACTAACGATCAGCTATCCGGCCTCGCTGTTCCTTTCCGTGAGCACACAAAGCAGCAGCTGGAGGGAGGGGGCTAGAGGAACCAGAACACCTCCAGGCTCTCATGAGAGACAGCCAAGGGTACCGACAGGGGACTCGGGGGTCTGCGAGAGAGCCCCGCGGCACTTACCCCCGGACTCCCAGACTGCCAGAGCTCCTTCCTCCAAAGCCCAGTCACCTAAGGCCTGAGCCCCCGCAAGAGAGGAAGGTCGATTTCAGATTACCCCCCCAGCCCCGCCTCTTCCCCCCGCCCGCCCAGCTTCCTCTCTCTATGAGGAACACTTTCACTTCCTGCTACTCCAGGCCTCCCTTCGGAGAACAGGTAGGGGTCCCCAGGGACCTAGCGGCTGGCATCGTCACCCCCACTGCCTCCCTTTGGTGTCAGGCTGCTGGCCCCACCCCGCCCTGCCCAGCACCACCGGCCATCCAGGCGAGCATCAGCCTCTCTGCCCCCACCCACCCCTCCTTCCTGCTCTCCCCTGGACAGGACACCTGCTCACTGTCCCCACCCTTCCTAAAACCCCGGGTTTCTAGTCAGCAGGCTGATTGATTTGTTTAGCTGTTCATTACCCCTTTCCTATGCCACCCCCCGAGGGCAGGGGCCTGTTCTATCCACCACTGTTTCCCCAGGCCACCCAGTCTGGGCCTGTACTTACAAAGTATTTGTTAGGTGCACAGATGAATGGACCCAGGGGTCCTACTCCTGCCACTGCTGCAGGGAAAATATTTAAAAATGCCCACCTCGAGTGATAACCCACGCTAGCTAGGACTACGTACCTGCTGAAGAGTTGAGGTCCGATGGACAGAGGGACAGATGTCGAATAAGCAAAAAAGAAAATGCCAGCAGTAACATCTAGGTAGCGGGTATAAGGATGTTCTCTGTAAAATTCTGGTTTTCTGGATGTTTGAAAATGTCTCTAATAAAATGTGGGGGAGGGAATATTTGAGGGCCCCCCCGCCGTGGTCTGGGAAGGGGGAAGATGTTGTATAAGATAGTTCACGTTGACAGAGTGTCCCCTGTGGGCTGAGCACCTGTCTGGGCACTGGGTTTGGGCAAAAGCTGTTATTCAACTGGTCCATGTCTGTATTATGGCAGCACTGGTTGTCAAAAGCTGGAACATCTCTGTGCCACTCGGTAAAGAGCCATCAGTCTGGGTCCTCCCTTTCCCCCCTCCCCACCAAGACCCACTGGCCTGCTTCCTGGGATCCCCAGATCTCCCCACCACCTGGGGACTAAAGCATTAACACCTGCCACAGCAAGGGGCCTTGGGTCCGTTTGCATTGGTCAGGGTTTCTGCTGTATTGGTTGTAAATATGCTGACTGTTACCTCTGGGTTGGAGGCACCTTGAGCCTTATCTTCCTTCCTGCCAGAGGCCAGACCATGGCTGGCTGGCCTCCCGCATCCTGAGGATGGCCCAGCCGGAGGACGAGGCCTCTGCAGGCCCCACCGTCGGGGAGAGGTGAGGGCTGCTGGGGCTGGGGTCTCCAACTCCTGCCCTGGCTTCAGAAGTCCCTTCCATCCAATGCCCACCCCCCTAGAAGACCCTGAATCCCATTTCTTCCCTGGGCTGCCCTTCCTGCACCTTTGACCCCACCTCAGTGTCCAACGGCCCACCTCTAACATCCGGTCCCCTGGACCCCGCCTGTCCCAGACAGGTTCCATCACAGGTGAATGGAGCAGATGAGACCCTCACAGGGGTCCTTGGGACCCCAGAGCCACTCCTTCGCCTATGGAGGACGTGGGGGGTGTGGCAGATCCCAGAGCTGGACACTCAGGATGCAGAAGCCCTTCTTGAGCTGTGGCCACCGGGGGTGAGTACTCACAGCCAGGGACCTTCTCTGACCCTCCCCAGGACACCGTGGATCAGTCAGGACTCTGCTGGTTCCTAGTGACAAACACCACAAACCGGGCAAACCAAAAAGGCTACTTATCGATTCCAATGACTGAAAAATCTGGAAGTGAAGGGAATTTCAGGAATGTCTGGACCCTGAGCATTAGACAACTTAAAAATTTCTCCTCATCCTATTTCTTGGCTTTGCTTCAACTGTGAAAGCCCAAGGAACACACACTCGTTCTATAGTAGCTTAGGCAAACAGGCATTTGTCTTTCTGACACATCCGGAAAGGCAGCTGCAGACTCTGATTCAGCAGACCTAGTGACATCAAGGCCAGGTTCTCTGCCATTCCCTTGGGCTCCCCTCACGATTGCCCAGTGGCCACCCCAGGTCCAAGTGCATGTGTGCACTCCAGGCAGGAGGAAGAAAAGAAAGGAAGCACCAATTGCACCAGGAAAACCAAAAGCCTTTACAATTGATTCACAATATATGGGGCCCAGACGGCAATATTTTTTTTTTTTTAAGATTTTTTAAATTTATTTTGAGAGAGAGAATGAGAGACAGGGAGCATGAGAGGGGGGAGGGTCAGAGGGAGAAGCAGACTCCCCGCTGAGCAGGGAGCCCGATGCAGGACTCGATCCCGGGACTCCAGGATCATGACCTGAGCCGAAGGCAGTCGCTTAACCAACTGAGCCACCCAGGCGCCCTAGACGGCAATATTTTTTTAAAGCTCACCTGGGAGTTATAAACCCAGAGGTGAGAAACACTGCCTACACATCATCCGTCTTCTCCAGCTGGGCAGATTATGCCAGAACAAGGCTGCAGTTCTGCAAGGAATAGGGATAGACTTGGATAAGGCAACTAGCGGGTCTATACAGCTTCCTTCACAAGGGGGCTCTGTCCCTGTGGTGGCAGAGATGGCTGTCCCCAGCTCACGGCCACATCCCACAAGCCCAGCAATCCCAGTGTAAAAAGAGGCTTCCTTCCAAAGAGCTCCAGCAAAAATCTTGTGGAAGATTTCCATTGGCTGGGCTTGATTCACATGCCCACCTCTGAACCAATCACAGTGATGAGAAAGTACTGTCATCCTGTTGGCTAGATCAGGTCACGGGACCATCCCTGGGCCTTGGAGGGAGTTAGTCCCACCAGCACGGACTAAGGGAAGGAGTGGGTTTCCTTAAAGGAAGTTTGGGGTGTGGAATCCAAAATAAGGGAAATGGGTGCTGGGCAGGCAAAAGTAACAGAGATTTGCACAAATCCCTTTCAAGATGACTTTTGCCTCGGGGTGCCTGGCTGGCTCAGTTGGAAGAGCAGGGAACTCTTGATCTCGGGATTGTGAGTTCGAGCCCCAGGTTGGGTGTAGAGATTACTTAAATAAAACTTAAAAAAAAAAAAAGATAACCTTTGTCTCCACCCCATCCCCCCCAGAGCTTCCTGGTCACAGGACATGACCCCAGCCAGGTCCTGGTGTTGAGGACAGGAGCTTCACCAGGAGAAGTCCACACCTACCAGATCCAGAAGCTTCCTGGAGGTGAGGAGCCTACCCCCTAGATTCCAGCCCACAGCAAATTTAATCAGCTTTGCTTCCAAAATATCTCCCCAATGCTTTTTGGTGCCATAAGTGGGATGCAAACATAAAGACTCAGGAAAAGATGGGGACTCCAAAGGTAGAAATTTCCCTCTCTTGAGGGTCTTTGGGGAGAATTACAGGATGGAGGAAGACAGAGTCCCAGGGAAGATGAGGCTGCCACCCCTCAACCTTTCTTCCTTGCCCCTTGTTGCCCCCTACCCCCAGGTGTGTCTCTGGAATATTCTAACCTCTGCATGCCAGACCTGCCCCATCTCCTGGCCTTCCTATCAGCCAGCAGGTACTGGTCACCCATCAAAAGGGCTAAGGGTGATCCATCCCTAAGACATCCCACCCACACTGCTGTTCCCCCTTATCTTTTCTCAGGGATGTTTTGCCCAGAACACTGCTCTTGCCCCCTCCCACTCTAAGGCCTGGAGACCAACACACAGGTGAGGGATGGTTCCCTAAGGGAGGGGGAAGCCACTTTCCAGCTTCTTGGTCTGGCAGGACGGCCCTTCAGGGACCAGACTACCAGGTTTGAGGGAGAATAAAATGGGGGGTGAGGGAAGCTGTGGGAGGCTTGCCTCCTGGGCCTGAGTGACAAGAGACCAGGGGCCAAACCAGTAATGAGGCTGGGAATTAAGTCCCCCAGTGCCCTGAAGGAAGCAGAGCTGGCTCCTTGGATATCTGGGACACCTCGGTTATTCTGGTCCCCAGGTCCTCCACAGACTGGCAGTGTCCACCTCAACATCTCAGAGAAGGTGCTGTCTATGGTGAACAAGCTCTACCTGGAGACCCACAGAGGGTGGGGGATGGAGCAGATCCTCCAGAAACCTCCAGAAACTGTAGAAAGACACAGTTCAGGTTAGCTGGGCTAGACGGGGCCCTGGGCCCCTAGGGGGACGGGGGAGCTACTGTTGCTGTTCTGTGGGGCCCAACTCTCTCCTCACATCCAGCCCCCAGGAACCCTGCCCCTCACCGGGTCTCCTGGGTTGAAGGCCCGCTCAGCCCAGAAGTACACCACCCTGGGCCAGCTCTGGCCAGCCTGGTGGAGGAGAAAGTGGAGGACAAGGATGAGGACGAGAACGAGGACAACTACAAAGATGAAGAGAACGGCCCTGAGGATGTGCTCACCCATCACATCCAGGCTCTGGCCAGGGCCCGGGGCAGCTATGTGGGCAGGCAGTTCCAGAGCCTTAGGGCACGCCTCACCTCAAATGCCAGAGGCCCCCACATGCCTGGGGACCCCGCCACAGAGCTGCTTCAGGATGTGCGGCACCTCCTGACTGACCTCCAGGATCACTTATCAAAGGACCCCAATGTCAGGGCTGTTTTGGAGAGCAGGGGGCCTGGGGTCCCCCAGAAGGACGAGCCTCTTGGTAATAAGGAGGGCTGGGAGAGAACTTATGGCCATTTCCCGAACCCACTCGGGTTCTCGTGTGTCCTCCTTTGGCCCGACATGTGCGTTCACACCCAACTTCTTTCTCCCCATCCCTGCGCACCTGTTTGCTTTGCCACTCACACGCCTTTTCCTGCTCCGTTCGCCACTGCTCCGTCTCTCACATGTGTGACAGCCGCGCTCCCTCTCCCACGCGCGTGTCCACACCCGGGCTCCCTCTTCCACGCGTGTTCTCCCACCCGTGCCTACACTTGAGGGTGGCGCTCGGCCCCGGGGAGGGGGTCAGCCCGGCGGCCCTTCGCTCACCCGCCCCAACCCCTCGCAGGCGCCGCGGTGGAGGCGGCCTTGTGCCGGGCGGTGCTGGCGCCCCTGAAGCCTGTCCTGTGGACGCGACTCCGCACGCTCCGCGCCCAGGAACTGCGGCGACTGCAGCAGCGACAAATAGCGCTGCGGACGGGGGCGGGGCCTCCGGACCACCGGGGGGCGGGGCTCGAGGGGCAGGGCCCCGCCCCCGCCCTGCGGAGCCGCATCCACGCGCGCCTGGCGCACCTCCACGCCGCCTGCGCCCCACGCCGCAAGGTGGCGCTGCTGCTGGCGGTGTGCAGTGACGTTTACGCGGGCCTGGCTCAGGCCGAGAACCAAGGTAAAGGAGGTTTACCTGCGTCCACGTGGATGTGCGGTAGCTCGAGGGTGGCGGGAGCGGGATGGGAGGCGCCTGCGTGCACGTCGAGGGGGGAGGGTGGTACGCTCTAGCGCGAGGCGTCTACGCGGGCCTGGGGGTCTGGTAGGAGGCGTTTTCATGCTCAACAAGTGGAAGGGCCGCCAGCGCGCGTGGTCCTGGGGATCGGAGGGACGTGTCTACACGGCCCCCATCCAGCTCAGAGCCTGTCCTCCGGCTCCGCCAGAGCCCCTGGGGGCCGACGCCTTCCTGCCCGCGCTGACGGAAGAACTGATCTGGAGTCCGCACATTGGGGAGACGCAGCTGGACGTGGAGTTTCTCATGGAGCTGCTGGATCCCGAGGAGCTGCGTGGGGAAGGTGAGTCCGCACCCCAGAAACGCCGGGACCCAACAGGGGGCGCCCTAGGGCCCAACAGCCGCGCCCCGCAGCAGGGGGGAAGGCGGACAAACTGCGGCGGGACCTCGGGCGACCAGGGTAGCCGGAGAGCCGCGCTGACCACCCCGTCCTGTCCCTAGCCGGCTACTACCTGACCACGTGGTTTGGGGCGCTGCACCACATCGCTCACTACCAGCCCGACGCGGGCCGCGCGCCCCAGGGGCTCAGTTCTGAGGCTCGCGCCTCCCTCCGCCAGTGGCACAGCCGGCGGACGCTGCATAGACGCGACAGACAGGCCCACGCCGGAGCGCAGGTGACCGTCCCTCCGGACTGCGGGTGCAGGGGAGCGCCGGACCCACTGCCTTTCTGACCCAGGCTCCTGCCATTCCCCCCGGTCAGCCTGCCCTTTGAGGAACCATGGCGAGAGACCCTGTGCCCAGAGACCGAGGATGATTAGGGGTCTCAAACCCTCCTGCTCCTCAGGCAACATTCCGGAGGCACCAGGACGGCGCTGACTTCCGACCCCTGTTGGCTTAGGTGCAGGGAGGGGGAGGGGTTCCCAGGAACAGACCCACCTCCGCTGTGCCCCTCCTCGTGGTGGGCAGAATAATGTTCCCCCAAGACTTCCCCTTCCTAATCCCCAGAATCTGGGAGTGTGTTACCTTACATGGTCAAAGGGACTTTATATATGTGACTAAATTAAGGATCTTGACATGGGGAGATTATTCTGGATCATCCTGGCGGCCCAATATAATCTCCACAGTCCTTACAAGAGGGAGGCAGGAGGACCAGAGTCAGAGAAAGAGATGTGATTTTGCAAGCAGAGGTCAGAGTGATGTGGCCAGGAGCCAAAGCAGGTACCCTCTAGAAGCTGAAAAAGACAAGTGGATTTTCCCCTGGAACCTCGGGAAGGCTCGGCCTTTGATTTTAGGCCCGAAGAGCTATTTTGAACTTCTGACCTTTAGAACTGCAAGATAATAAATTTGTGGGGTTTTTGACCTGCTATGTTTGTGGTAATTTGTTATAGAAGCAACAGGAAGCGAATATACTCTCTTACCCAGAACTTTATTTTCCGTAGAAATTAGCACTTCCTAGGGGCGCCTGGGTGGCTCAGTTGGTAAGCGTCTGCCTTCGGCTCAGGTCATGATCCCAGGGTCATGGGATCGAGCCCCGCATCAGGCTCCCAGCTCTGCTCTCCCTGCTTCTCCCTCTCCTGCTCCCCCTGCTTGTGTTCCCTCTCTGGCTGTCTCTCTCTCTGTCAAATAAATAAAATCTTCAAAAAAAAGAATTAATAAAAAAAAATTAAAAAAAAAAAGAAATTAGCACTTCCTAGCATACCATATAATATGTACTTATTTATTGTGTTAATTTTTGTCCATAGTGTCCCTCCCCTTAGGTTGCCTAACAGAAATATAGTGCAAGCTATATATTTAGAAAGTAGCTCCATTACAAAAAATACTAAAAAGATACAAGTGAAATTAATTTTAATAGCCTACCTGATTGAACCCAATATGTCCCAAATGTTATCACTTCAACATGTAATCAACATCCAAAAATTAGAGGCGCCTGGCTGGCTCAGTCGGTGGAGCATGCGACTCTTGATCTCAGGGCTGTGAACTTGAGCCCCACGTTAGGTGTAGAGATTACTTAAAAATAAAAAAAATAAAAAAAACTTTTTTTTTTTAAGATTTTATTTATTTGACAGAGAGAGACACAGCGAGAGAGGGAACACAAGCAGGGGGAGTGGGAGAGGGAGAAGCAGGCTTCCTGCCGAGCGGGGAGCCCGATGCGGGGCTCGATCCCAGGCCCCTGGGATCATGACCCGAGCCGAAGGCAGACGCTTAACGACTGAGCCACCCAGGCGCCCCCCCCCCCAAAAAAAATCTTTTAAAAAATCCAAAAATTATTGTACTATTTAACAATCTTTTTTGCTTGTGTGCAAAATATTCAAAATCCAGTGTGTATTTTCTATTTGACATCTCAGGTGGGACCAGTCACATTTCAAGCGCTCAGTAGCCACGCAGGGCTAGGAGCTACCGTGTTGGTCAGTGCGGCCTTAGATTGTCAGCTTCAGGAGGCTAGGGATCTCTGTCTTGTGCATAGCTCTATTTTCAGTGCCTAGCCAAATGCCTGGACCCATTAGGTGTTCAGCAAATACTTGCTGAATGGTTCAATGCCAAATGGTAGGCTGGAAATGGCTGCCTAACAGAGATCCCTGTCCTAATCTCTGAAATCCACGAACATTACCTTTTTTGGAAAAGGGTCTTTGCAGATGGTATTAAATTAAGGATCTTAAAATGGGGAGACTATTCTGGGTTATCTGGGGGAGGGCTCTAAATGCAATCACACGCGTTCCTATAGAAGGAAGGCAGAGGGAGATTTGACACAAACAAGAGAAGATGATATGAAGACAAGCAGAAAAAGATTTGAAGGTGCCGGCCTTGAAGGTTGGAGAGTTGGTGATCACAAGCCAAGGAAAGCCATCAGGGGCACCTGGGTGGCGCAGTCAGTTAAGCTTCAGACTCTCGGTTTCGGCTCAGGTCGTGATCTCAGGGTGGGGAGATTGAGCCCCGCATCAGGCTCTGCGCTCAGTGTGGAGTCAGCTTGAGATTCTCTCTCCCTCTCCCTCTGCTCCTCTTGCTCCTGAGCTCACATGCACACACTCTCTCTCTCTCTCAAATAAAAATAAATAAATCTTAAAAAAAAAAAAAAAAAAGCAGTCAGCTACCAGATGCTGGGAGAGGCGCAGACCGGATGCTCTCCTAGCACTTCCAGAAGGAGGGGGCCCTGTTCACACCTTGATTTCACCCCAGTGATACTGATTTCAGACTTCTGGCCCCAAGAATGTAGGAGAAGAAATTTCTGTCGTCTTAAGCCACTGAGTCTGTAGTCATTTGTCACAGCAACCACAGGAAACTTAACACTCAGCAGTTAATATAAAAAAAAATGGAGTAGAATTAATATCCAACCCAGTCTCACTCTAGCAACAAGGGACATGCATCTCGTGATGTAGGAATTAACTAGAAAAGTAGGAAAATCCCCTGAATCCATTTCACAAAGAATATATTGCCATTACAATTTTACATTTTACATTTTGCATTTCATAATGATCAAAATTCTGTAATTTTAGACATCACCTAAAAAAATGTGCCAGAAGAGAGTTTTTTGCAATTGTTTTTAAAAACCAAAAAGCTCGAGCGCCTGGGTGGCTCAGTTGGTTAAGCGACTGCCTTCGGCTCAGGTCATGATCCCGGAGTCCCGGGATCGAGTCCCGCATCGGGCTCCCTGCTCAGCGGGGAGCCTGCTTCTCCCTCTGACCCTCCCCCCTCTCATGTGCTCTCTGTCTCAAATAAATAAATAAAATCTTTAAAAAAAAACAAAAACAAAAAAACCCAAAAAGCTCAAAATGGCTGCATCGGGCAGTGAAGCAGGAAGCAGAGATGGGGGGGGGACTACAGGATGTGGCCTCTCATCTTATGTTCAGACAGAACTGAGTGGGGTAGCTTGATCCCCGCAGACGTGAGGGGACCATCTCCTTTTTCAAGAACCTTCAGGGCAAGCAGGACACCAAGAATTTCATCATGTTCACTTATTATGCATTTTTTCAAAAGATTTTATTTACTTATTTGACAGAGAGAGCACAAGCGGGCAGAGGGAGAAGCAGGCTCCCCACTGAGCAGGGAGCCCGATGCGGGACTCAATCCCAGGACCCCGGAATCATGACCTGAGCCGAAAACAGACTGAGCCACCCAGACGCCCCTATTTATTATGCATTTATGTACATATGTATTTTTTATAATTGTAGTAAAAATCATATAATACCAAATTTACCCTCTTAACTATTTTTAGGTGTTAACTAGAGTTATAATAGTGTTAATTATATTCACTACTTTTTGGTGTTAATTAGAGTTATAATAGGGTTAACTATATTCACTATTTTTTGGTGTTAATTAGAGTTATAATAGAGTTAACGATATTCACTATTTTTTGGTGTTAATTAGAGTTATAATAGGGTTAACTATATTCACTATTTTTTGGTGTTAATTAGAGTTATAATAGTGTTAACTATATTCACTATTTTTTGGTGTTAATTAGAGTTATAATAGTGTTAACTATATTCACTATTTTGGGGGGTTAATTAGAGTTATAATAGTGTTAACTATGTATACATTGTGTAACAGATGTCTTTGTCTTGTAAATCTGAAACTATGCCCATCAACCACAACTCCCATTTCCCCTTCCCCAGACCCTGGCAACCACCATTCTACTTTATTTTTCATGGTTTTCATGATTCTTAGATATCTCGTTTAAGTGGAATCATCTAGTCTCTTGGTGAACTGGCTTATTTCACTAAGCAGTATGCCCTCGGGGCGCCTGGGTGGCTCAGTCGGTTAAGCGCCGACTGAGCTACCCAGGTGCCCTAAGTTCTTTATATTCTGGATGGGTATGTCTTGTGGGCAGTCCCAGTTTCTGGATTTCCTCATTATTAGATTCCAGTCCTGCAGTTAAGGGAAGTATACCCTCTAGGTGGACATTGTGTCCTTCCCAGTACATCCCATCCGGGGGGGCCCCATGATCGGCAATTCTAACTGTGCCTTTGGAGTTAAGGACTGTATTAGCTGGATCGAGGTGCCATAACAGAAAAGCCCAGATGGGGTGGTAAAAGCACAGAAATTTGGTTTCTCACAGTTCTGGAGGCTGGAAGTCCAAGATCAAGGCCTTGGCAGGTTTGGTTTCCTCCGAGGCTTCTCTCCTTGGCTAGTAGGTGGCCTTTTGTCTTCACACGGCCTTCCCTTTGTCCCTGCCTATGTCCTAGTCTCCTCTTTTTAAAATTTTAATATATTTATTTACTTATTTATTTGTTAAATTGAAGTATAGTTGACACACAATGTTACATTAGTTGCCAATCTCTTCCTATGAGGACACCATTCATATTGCACTGGGCCACCCATATGACTTCATTTTAACTTAATCACCTCTTTTTTTTTTTAAGATTTTATTTATTTATTTGGGGCATCTGGGTGGCTCAGTCGTTAAGCATCTGCCTTTGGCTCAGGTCATGATCCCAGGGTCCTGGGATGGAGCCCCGCATCAGGCTCCCTGCTCAGCCAGGAGGAGCCTGCTTCTCCCTCTCCCACTCCCCCTGCTTGTGTTCCCTCTCTAGCTGTCTCTCTCTCTGCATCAAATAAATAAATAAAGTCTTTTTTTAAAAAAGATTTTATTTATTTATTTGAATGAGAGGGAGAGCCAGAGAGAGAATGAGTGGGGGGGCAGAGGGGAGAGAGGAAAAAGCAGACTCCCCTGCTGTGCAGG